CATTTGTGAATGGGTTTGTTGGGCTGATTTTCTTGCAATTAGTTTTGAACATTGCGAAGACGCAATAAATTGAGTGGCGATGACGTACGTGGACGAAGAAGTGAAGGCATTGACAAAACGCGGACCAGATACTCATCTGAGAGGGTCGGATCAGATCACGGGAGGGCTTCAAGCAGATAGCGGAATCGAAATTACTATCATGGCTTGAATAAACAAGACTGAGAGAAATAAAACACCATGTATCTTTGACTTGGCATTAAATGAGACCGTGTTCATCAATAGCGAATTGAAATGCCTTCACACTGTCCGCCTATGAATCAGTGAATCTTCTGCGCCATAAAACCTTATCATCTCTCTGATGGAAGAAAGCAGATATCCTTTTCGATGAAACACATAGATCCTCGCATCTCAGCAGTGCAAAAAACTCACTAACAAACCTACTGATATAAGCCGCCTTACTTCGGTTGCGACCCTTTAACTCCCTCCATCTTTTCGATCTCCGTTGTGCTCCTTCATAATCTATTTCTTGATGAGCCCGCCAAGTTGGAGTGTTCGCAATTAGCGCGAACGCGCTAATTAGATTGAAAATGTCAAAAAACAGGAGCGATTATGGATCGGAATTATAAGGCTGTGGTATCTTACGGTATAGATTTTAAACATTCTAACTTTCGCGGTTTCATTACAATCTCAATGAACATATCAGTAGTGAAATTTCGGGCAGTTGCATGACACAGACAAAACACGTCGCACAAAAGTACCATAAAAAGGGAGGTTGATTTCAAATTACAGACCGTTGATAATAACTAACCTTATTCCACTTCCAATGTATTATATCTACAAATTTTTTGACTGAATGTTGGATGAAACTTGAATGATGACTTAGGGCTATTCCCTCTTCATTCCTCTAACGGAGTGGTCCAAACACGTAGTTGCAGTAGTTCCTTCTATTCCAAGTGATTCAAAATATTCGGTGGCTCAGACCAAGCTCAGTGACGGGCGGAAATCACGCAAACCCACACAAACACACACACCCATTTTACCCATATTTTGTCGTGAAAGCACGTGATTTTTAGCAAACTCGGCTTCCATGATATTCATTCGTTTCGTTGATTTCCTCCTCAAGTGGAAACCGAATTCCGTAGTACCTCTTTGTCACATAAATATCCCAATGTACTGTTTGCTTTCAAAATTTCCCAAGGTGGAACGTTTTTTGAGTGCACGTAAGTGGTTGTTGTTTGATTAGTTCACCCTGTCCCCACAAAACGACTACCAAATATTCCTACCAAAAGATGCAAAACCTGTGGTTCCTTATTCTGATGCACGCAGCTCCCCTTTTAACACGGACCTGGGCGACTGTCCGGTTCTCCTCAAGATCTACACGTGACCATTCACACGAGGAGCGAGAACACTGTTCCATGAATTTCGCTGCAAAAATAGACTGCTGATTGTGAAGTTCGGTCATCGTCGTCCCACTAGCTGCTCTAAGTCCCATACTTTGTGCTTTTCATTTTTTGATCGTCATTAGTGGTGCGCAAGGTTCTCGTAAGGCGCACCGTGAGGCATGAATAGGACGCTACCCTCTTAAAGAAAGTCCGGATATTGACCACGAAGACTGGAATAGGGCTGCAGAGAACTTTGGGCTAAGACTGGATAATCTACCCCGGTCTCCATGTCCTTGGTCGCTGTGGGATATGCGGTGGCTTAGCATCCACTTAAAAGACCCCAAGTGGCTGAATTTGTCCGTCGAATGTGATGTTGCGCAACGTTCACCACGGTGACCCTCGTTTGGATCAATATGGAGTCACCCATCGGAGAGTGAATACCAGTATGCCAGCACACTTCGTCTCTCTTTTAAGTGTGACCTCCCGAATCCAGCGCCAGTTGATGCAGCCTCCTTCCCATCTGTCGATGGCTTCAAGAAAGGCTTCACGGTCATGCAGTGACACACAGATTGAGCCCATTCAATTGGAATGCGAACTAGGATGACTGAAGTAGCTGGAATGGAAATGTCTCTCCACTTTCTTCCTGTTCCTCACTGGACCTGTTTTTCTGCCACTGTTGTCGCTGACATGCCCTATTTTTCTATCCTTCACTGGGCTTTCATTAGACTCCCCTGCTCTTGTGACATTTCTTCATGGTCGCATTTTTCTGAATAATGTCGCAAGTGTTAGTGTTTTAATGGATCACTCGTGTTGCTCTCCGTATTTCCTGCTTTTATGTTCTTCACGTTTATATTCTCTTCGCTGCGTTTTGCGCTTTTTCCGGTTTCGATGCCGGACTTCATTAAACGCCTTTTCCACCAGCCGGTTTTATATCCTGAATCTTTTTGTTTCCCTTCATAGGTTCGAATGGTTATTTGATTACATAGCACCAGAATTCTTCTTGCGCTGCGTCTCCATGTCATGTAATACATCTTAATTAATTTTCAGCCAACATTTAACCTGTCATAGGTTTTACGACGGCCAACAACATGAGTTTCTAAATATAGTGTGTTCGAGGGCTTCAAATCCCTTTAACTTCTCTTATGATGCGAAGCTGAACGCAAAAAATTGGTAGATACTGCGAATATTTTGCTTGCGAGGATGGCTTTGCCATTGCTGTCTCACTGATTCCACCCTCGACCCTCTTTTATTTTTATACTTTATTAACGGCCTATCTAGTTTTCGTTTCTGAAAGTAAATGTAATTTAATATTAACGAACGCCCATCCTGAAAAATCAGCCTATACCATAGCTGAAACCTCAGTATCTTGCGCTACTTCTGACAGGAATCACTGGTCCCTCTAACACATACTTGCTTAAGAGAGCCAGTCATCTGCTTACTTGCAAAACTTTCGGAAAATCTATCCAGAACTCCGTAGTACTGAGCCAAAGACTTCTGAAAACGCTTGCAAACTCTTATTCAGCCAAAACTGTGGAAGGACCCAGTGGAAATGCCACCACCCCCTGAAGAGGATCTGTCTTTCGGAAACAGACCTGGAGATGCACTGTTTAGAATGTCATTCATTGGGGAAGTAAACTACATTCAGTCCACTTAAGCACATTACATCTTCAAGTATATATAGTCTGGGAGGGATATGACCGCAGTTTGTTTTACGGCTTGTAATCCTACCGACACCAGCATATGCTCTTTTAAGATCATCCGGATTTTCAATTCCAGAGGACGCCTCAGGAGTTTACGCTAGAAGAGCAGTACACCGACCATTTTCAGTGGGAACGCATAAACAATGAAGTTTATCCCACAAATGACTGGTTTCCTAACTGCCAGACACTTTCAAAGGGAAGCTGAGTACCCGTCCCTGCAGCACTGGAACTCATGAGAACTATTTTGGTCTGTTCCATCAGGGACCAGCCCGCCAGTGCGTGCCAGCTGTGACGTTCAGTGACTACAAGGTTCTCATTTTTCTCCTAGCGCCTCTTTGGTACGAAAACGGGAACGAAACACAGTGCTAAGATGCAATTCTTAATCCACAGAAGCCAGGGTTTAAACGTCATCTGTTGGTTGGTGAAAGTTAAATTATAGGTGGATTGGGTGACCAGAGGTGTTTAAGGTAGCACACACTATTATCAAATATCCACTTATTTCCCTGCAACTTAGGGCACGTGGGCCACTTGGTCCAGGTATGTTTTAAGCCTATGTCTCCGAACAGCCTTAGTTGGCTGCCTGTGGATGCGTTCTGGGTCCATTTGCTCACTTCACGATCACGGCGGGGGACTGTTACCAAACCCTCGGGGAAGCCACATGAAGCTGTCCGAAAATTCACTAAAGAATTACCATAGTCAAACTGGCATATACTGCCCTTCTGTCACAGTCATCATAAGATTCAAGGTTTTCAGCGACTAAAACGCCCAGACCCTCCTTTATGTCCGGCGCTGCCAGTTTGTTTCATTGAGACCATATGCGTCACGTAAATTATGTCCCGGATGTGCTAACTTGAGTTTCTAAGGATTAAACGCAAATCCTTTTGCTATTTGCCCACTTCTCATGCTGCATTAGAATTTTTTGCAAGACTATTTTAGGAATCGTCCTGGTGCGAACTTGACGGACGCAGAGACCAATCACTAGTTATTCGCACTTGTTATACGCCCACGAATACGAGACCAAGAAAGAATACAACAGCGTGGTCGAATGGAATAGTATATTTGCGGGATCGTGTCCAAATACCGATGCGTTCCAACTAACTGGTTAGAGAGTCGGTTACCAGTAGTGCAACGTAACATGGTGGCATCCAAATGGCGATGATGCTTGACGGGGTGCCTTCAGCTTAGCGAGTCCAGTTAAACTATCAAGGTCAGTGACAACGGGTGGGGATTGAGATTACCTTCCACGAAGATGTGTGTAATTTATACATAAACTTATTCATACCTGTAAAAATGGTGTGTGCCTGTATATTCAGGAATAAATATTATCATTATTGTTATTGATGTTGAATCTCGTCGAACCTTGAGTTAGTGATCCTGGAGCAGCGTGACGCTGCACTTCCCTTGCCTTCACGACGTCTGACTTCTTGTCATACCTGAACGCCGTCGGTGAAGAGGAGGACTCAGAAAAAACCTACTGAGGTAAGTCTTGGCGTGTCTATCTGGTGATCTTCAAAACCATCCATTAATAATAAGTAATTGGCGGTTGACGTGTATAGGAAGACAAATGTAGACTCTCAGCGGCAACCGGAAATTAGATGCAGTTAATTGCCCTCCAAGACTAGGAAGTAAAAATTCTTATTTTAGGTGATTTCAACATTCTTTAGGTAAAGTAGGTGAATTTAAACCACAGAGCAGTATTATTTTGACTGACTCTTTTACAGTGAAATAAGAGCTTTTAAATATAGAGCAAACTCGCTGTTACTTTTCCCTATGAAAATACTTAGTATACCATGCTGATGAATGCAAGGGGACTTAGTTCTCACACAGTTTGAATTCGCCTACCATTGGATGATCGGACTTCTTCGCGGTTATTTGACTGACGGATTTTCAAATCTCGGGTACACGCTTTCTCTTTAGTATGTCTGTGGACATAGGCCTGCTGTCTGTCTTGGAGAAAAGTCTTTCTTTGGGTAAGGCTAACAAGTGAAAAATATTCTTTGTTTTACGATTTTAGAAAAGTTGGAGCTTGAGGCAGCTCAGCATTTTCTCGAAGAAGCAGCTAAAGTCGATCTCTTTGGCCTGCTCAGGCAGCTTAGTGATGTTCTGGTTAACGTTGAGTGTTCGCCACCTGTACGTACTCAGGCTGGCATACAACTTAAAAACGCCTTGTACTCAAAAGACCCAGGCATCAAATCGCTATACCAGCAAAGGTGGCTCCAAGCTCCGGCAGAGTCGAAACAGTACATAAAGAAAAATGTACGTTGCAGCCAGTCTCATACATTTCTTTTTAGTGTCTTGCAGCCTTGGGAACGGAGACTACAACACATAGTTCAGCAGCACAATGTGTAGCTTACATTGCATGTGCTGAGATTCCTGCACTTCAATGGCCAGACTTGATGGAGAAATTAGTTGAGAATGTCATTACACCAAGCAAAACAGAGGGATGCAAGCGTTCAACCCTAGAAGCTATTGGATATATTTGTCAAGATATAGTAAGAATGGTTTATTGATATAGTTTTGAAAGGATCCCTGCATATTAGCAAGCCAGTCGAACGCTATCTTGACTGCGATAGTTTGTGGTATGAAAAAAGAAGAACCCAGGTTTGTACATCATTTCCTTATGACGTTTCTTCAGTGACAGTGTCCGCCTTGCAGCCACGAATGCATTGCTAAATTCCTTGGAGTTCACGAAACATAACTTTGATGTTGATGTAGGTGCATTTTAATCATATCATTTTAACTTAGAATGAACGAAACTACATTATGCAAGTTGTTTGTGAATCAACCCAGTCATCAAGTTCCCAAATACGCGTTGCAGCACTTCAGTGTCTGGTGAAGATAATGTCTCTTTATTACAACTACATGGAGCCTTATATGAAGCAAGCATTATTTGCTGTAAGTGTCAAAATGTCATAGTTTTATTGCAAAATGTAAGGTGTGAAGCTGATCTGCGAATATCCGTTTCTTTGCGTACACACTATAGTATTAGTCACAATGTGGGATGACACTTGTAAGTCTACTAGAAATGGTTGACAGTATTTTGAACTAATTACTGTTGGATGGCAATAAGTGTTAAGTATTCAAAGATAGTCGCTTTGGTTACTTATCGCATACTTTGTCATGTTTAGCTAGTGTACTTGAAGTCTATCCTTCATACAAAATTGACTCAACAGCAAAAACCTAGGCACACCATGTTTTGTTTACTTTGCTGTACAACAGTTCGTTCTGTCCTAATATACAACTGAGACATGGCCGTTTAAAGTAAGTAGATCAAAGTAAGACGTGGCACAGGAGTGCATCGGTCCAATTTGTCACACCATAGCTTCATGAAACAAGTGTCGAAGGTCAACCAAATTTTCGGTGACTGGAAGATGACAAGGAATGTATATGTCTGCGCTATTGTGACCGATTTTCAGCCATACCACTCATTTTCCAGCCAATGATTACTGTCATTTCGAGGACCCCAACTAAAGTATGTATCTCCCCACATGACTCAGACCAACGGTCAGAGACCTCACTAACTATCACCACTTATTAGTCTGGCCGCTTTAAGGCTTCTTACTACCTAACCAAACTTCGGTTAGCATTACACGTCGATCTTGGTGGCTTGATATGGGCATTCTTATCATATCGAATAATTGGTACCTTTGGCTTGTTTTAGCTTTTTTCTAGTGATTTTAGTCTATATAATTCCAATCGAAATCCACTTTACTAATGTTTTTGATTGTGTTTAACTCCTGAAGATCACATTAGATGCTATGAAAGATTCTGTACCGGAAGTCGCACTTCAGGGGATTGAATTCTGGTCTACAATATGCGACGAAGAAATTGACCTGGCCATTGACGTCGCTGAGTGCTTCGAAAAAGGTCAACCTCCCGCTGTATCTAGCATGTTCTACGCTAAGGGAGCTTTGCAGTTCATTGTACCGATTTTAATGGAGATTCTTGCTCACCAAGATGAGTCAGTGGATGATGACGAATGGAACCCTAGCAAAGCAGCTGGCGTATGCTTGATGTTACTGGCACAATGCTGTGAAGACCCTATTGTTAATTTGGTCATTCCGTTTGTTAAAGAGAATATTAAGAAACCTGACTGGCGCTATAGAGATGCTGCTGTTATGAGCTTTGGAAGTATTCTTGAAGGCCCTGATCCTGCAGCTTTGAAGGTCAGTATTTTTCCTTGTCTTTACCGTGATATCCAAATTTATATGTATTTCAGGTCCATTCAATCGCACTACTGAAATGGTCACATCGATTGTTGTCAATTTCATTTCGATTTTTTGTTGACAGACTTGGAGTAGTTTTTTACGTTTTACTTTTTAGTTTGAATCGTTTGTAGAACTGACAAATCGGTTTGGAGCGACGTATATGCATAAGACCAGTCAGTGGTTCTCCGAAGCAGCTAACGATAGTCTCTGCTACATATTACTGCTTCCACTTTTCTAGTTATTTAAGCCACCTCAGTGGTCACTTAGAATTAAGCTTTTGTTTAGTTGGCTGAACCATTGCTTCAAAGTGGAATGCTGACTAGTTGTATAGGGAGTAGGTTACGGTTGTTTAGAGTGGACCACAACTTCAGTTCATGGTTACCAGCTTAGTTTAAATTGTGTAGGGTAGCATAATTTAAGTAGCTGAGGCTGTAGAGAATTCGAAATCAGTCCTAATGGATACTCCAGCTAACAAAGCTTGAGATCAGCCACCATAGCACAAATGCATTCGTTCTTTGTCGTCCTCTAAATGTTTTTCCCCATTTTACTCTCGTCTTTGTTAATTGAAACTGACTTATTGACTTAGGGACTTGATTCGCAAGTTTAGGGTCCGAGATTCTAGTCCCGTCCAACCTACTTCGGCTTGAACCTTTTGATTTTGTCACGAACCCTCAAGTTAGTACATAAACATGAGTTATTGTGCTGCAACCATTGGGTCCTATTTCTATTTCTTTCCCTTATGTATAACTGTCAATCCGGAAATAATTTACCTTTTAAAAACCACTCATTTATTTGTGATGATCTGAATTGACGGTGAACCTTGTCATCTCTTGTCCTAACCGTGACAAATAAAACAATTTCAAGTCAAAACTGTGAACGATCAGAATTACTTCGGATGGTAACATCTTAACAGTGATGAGGAACAATATCACTGTGACTGTCCGGAACAAATTTAAACGCTGATTTACGAGCCACAATCTATGAAAATGATACCGTTTAAATTGAGGTAGATAGGATAAAATTCAAAGTTGGACCCAGTTTATGAGATTTGAGTACCTACGCCGGTTAAACATTACTCGACAAATGTAATGTGCGGTATTTTTGTAACTGAGGTAAGGTTCAACAACGGATTGTATCATTTTTTGTCACATACTGAGATTTGTAACAGTTTTTTCCTCCCATTAGAAAACTACAAATATCTCAAAAAAGTTATTGACAAACCTCACTCTTCTTCAAATTCAAACGTACGAGTTAGACATCCTTGTTTTATACACTATGTAAATTCACCATTGATTTTATTGCTCATTCTCCCCTAGGTTGTATTTGGGGTCATCAAATTGAGACGAAAATAAGTGGGCTATTCCAAGTTTTTAGTCGAATTATGACATTAGAACTTATTTTCAAGCTCAAATTACCGGTTATTTGTTCTAACTGTTGACTTTAAAGCATATCTAACGTAATTTTAACAACCAACTTGATTACGTCTCCAGTATGCTTGCTTGCATATCAAATAGTTTAGTTGCTACTGTTTATCGGTTTAGCTATGTCATAAAATTATCATGGTTCGTTCGTATTTTGAAAGTAATATTTAGCTCTTACTCTTATCTTTTCAAGTTTTGTGTGTAATTGTTTCGATTTTTTGTCTTTAGCCGCTTGTGGAATCTGCTATACCGGTGATAATTGAGTTACTACGTGATGTATCACCAGCTGTTCGCGATACAGCTGCGTGGACAATTGGACGGGTATGTGAAACCCTTCCGGAAGTGGCTTTACATGAAACATATTTAGTTCCGTTATTAACTGGACTAGTTGATGGGTTGTCCGCTGAACCGCGAGTTGCTGCGAACGTGTGTTGGGCATTTTCGAGTCTTGCAGAAAGTGCCTATGATGCTGCTTCAGGTAAACATTTTGTCTCAACTAATGGTATTTTACCGCCAGTTGGCTCAGATTTATAATTTGGAGTTGGATATAAGAAATGCTACGATTTGTTATGTGTACTGAGGACATCAATATTATTTTACTACACTGCGGTTTTAGCAAACATTTTGTACAAACTGTTTAAAGATTGTCAGGTTAGTGACGTTCCGAGTAGTTTCTACAAGACAATGTTGTTAATGATTTGACCTTCCTCAGAGGTGTTCACTAAGTGAATGCCAACAAAATACAGCATAAAGTAAATTATATCACCACGCGTGCTTATAAGCATCGTTAATAGAAGACCTTATCACTTTGCCTGCTGCTATTTATGCCGACTGACTGCAAGCACGGTTGTAAAACTAACTGTCAGGTAACTGCATTGAGTAGTTGAATTATGTCAGGAGTTTAATCCTTCACTGCCAATTTCGAAACCATATGGATATACAACTTATTTTTCTTGCCTTACACGCTTAAATAGAACGTTTCCAGCTAATAGTGTTTGACCACTTCGCCTGTATTTGTAACCCTTTCATTTTTCTATCCAAAGTATTAGCCGTTACTGATATAGCTTGTTGATCTAGGTATTCATTTTTACAGCAATAGATCCCGGGTTCAAGTTTCACTTCAACTTTGGCTTGGTAACCGAGTAGTATCATGAACCGTCAGCCGGTACCAGATTGAGTTGCATCGCTGCTAATTCGCAAAATAAATCAAGTGGAATTGAACTTCAACTCATTCAGTGGTTTTCATTCTCTGGTGATAAAGATATTAGATCAAGTGACCTATGTTGATTCTTGGATTAGTTATCTTTATGACGATCCAGTTTCTCCTTGAATTCGTTCATCAAAAAATGTTTACTTGTTGCGATAGAGTCCCAATCCTTTATCTATCTATTGTAGAATCTGTACCCCATTTGAATTGGATTCGATTGTGACTTGTAAACCCATGGTTAAGCGTATCCACAGTTGGGAATGGATATTTCTACATCATTGTCTTCACGAGTAGATGATTCGGTTCGTCATAGTGCAGGTCTACCTGGTGTTACTCACTCTTCTGTGATTGCTATCAAATCAAGTTTTTGACTCTAGATTAAATCGCTTAGCCTAGAAATTTTTCCAAAGACCGTTTCTCTACTAGACACTTATGGGTCTTAACCCAACATTGTAAATTGAACCATCGGTGATGAAACGGTCACATAGTCTTATAAGACTAATGTGGAAAAGATAAACCAAAAACTTAACAGTATTCGTGTTCTAACAGTAGGACATAGCTAGTACCTAGACCTGTTAGTGCAGCACCAAAGAGTGCTGATTCCATTCAGAATTTTATCACCTGAGATGTTTGTGTATGGAGATTTCAATAGGAATATCTATGATTAGGTCAGGGAAGAGGCTGAATAAGAATTCGAATCATACTCAACATCTTGTAGGAATTGTGCTTTGGAATAACGAAAAAAGATGTCTTGTTATATAGTCTGGTCTAAACTATTTGTGGGTTGGTTGAAAAAGTCTGACTGTTCTAGATTCTCCTTTACGTATATTACTTTCATTGCTTGTCTGTTATTTCTATGAAGGATAATTCATTCGGCGAACTGACTGATTTGATACTCCTAGATCTCATGGGGTTGATCAGTAGGCGTTTTTTGATGATGATGATGTTTTTTGCACGTAATGCTACACACAGTAGGCTTTGTTTGTGGTTTTTAGTATATATAAACACGTACATAATCGCACATATTACGTCTGAGTGAGTTTGAGAGGTAGGTTCAACCGAATTTCAGTGTCTCATAACGTTTTAATTGACATTTGAGTTGATGGTTGTTTTCACAAAAATGGCTCTCAGTTAGTAAGCCACTGTAATAAGGAATTGTGTAGATGACTTTATTTACTGACAGTTTGTGGATCATATGAATTACCCACTTACTAGATAAGATATGAACAAGAATTATTTTCACTGAACTAAGTATTGAAGTTCCGGTTGTTGGTGTGACTACAGGTGGTAATTTTGCTCTGTATATTACTAAAATTAAAAAAACTGGTAATCTGTGTAAACATTTATTTAAAATTTATTCATCATAACTTCACTACAAGTTATCCATTTTAATGAGGTTGGATACTCAGTACATGTGTCTAGGTAGACTAACAGTTTTTAAGCAGTTATTGTTTAATTTTCAATTTCGCTACTTCAGAAAATGCTGGACATAATGGTGAGCCAAAGACTTATGTGCTGTCTCAGTACTTCAATGTAATTACGGAACGCCTTCTTGCCACCTCTAGCCGACCTGATGGAGGACAGCACAATCTTCGAAACGCGGCATACTCGGCTTTAATGGCGTTGATGCGTTCTGCAGCCCAAGACTGTTACTGTGAGGTGCAACGCGTTACTTTAATTGTCCTCGAACGACTAGAGTCCATCATAGGCTTAGAACATCAAATAGCTTCACATCAAGATAGGGCGCAGTTCAATGACTTGCAATCACTTTTATGTGGAACATTGCAATCTGTTCTAAGGAAGATCAATAAAGATGATGCACCAGCAATATCAGACAAAGTAAGAATTCAGTTTGGTGTTGACCTATTAGTATGAATTTCTTGCATTTGTAATCTATCCGTAAGAACTTTGGATAGACTTTTATTAACTATGTTGCTGTTTTCTGGGAAATTTCCCGAGAAGAATACACTTTTCCGTGTTTTTGATTCAGAAAGATTGCTGCGTCCAACCCTAATCTCACTTTAACAGCTTTGATTACTCTAAAAGGTTCCTGCCCATCGATGTAGCCTTTAAACTTTTATCTTGTTTACTGGTAGGTACATTCCTAGAATTGCATTTTCCAGGTGATTGTTTCCGCCTCCATTCAGTTAGCACTGTGACTTTCCTAGATGGCAATACTAATGCAACAGTCTTGTAAAATGACTCTACAATGGATCGGGATCTACCTTAACGATCTTATTAAGAACAAAAGTGGCTTCATCATTATTATTATTTGTCACTTGGGTTCCTAGTGGAACATAGGGCTTCAGTGGCACGTCTCCATTGCACTCTCTTCTCTGTAGTCCTTTCAACCAGACTCCAAGATTTCCCACAAGCTTTCATTTCTTCTTCACACGATCTCCTCCAAGTAACCCGCAGACGCCCAACTCGTTTCCTATTCTGGTTCCACTCGAGGGTATTGGCAAGCGCGTGAAGTCCCCAAACCGTCTTCCCAGTGTATACCAAACTCATCTCCATATTCTTCTGCACATTTGTTGGATGATGGGTTCTTGGCTGGTGCCTTGGCAACCAACCAGAGTTCCTCGTTGCTTATTCTTCCTGGCCATCCATCTCATCTTCAGTATATAGTGAGCGAGCGTAGGCGGCAGCTGTTGATGAATGTCTGTAGTTTTTTGAAAATGCTTTTCGTAACGCGCCAAGTCTCTCAACCATCATATAGAAGCACTGACTTGACTGACATTAGTGTTGAAAATCCGGATCTTGTTCACACACGCTTTATGCTGGGTGCAGTGCAGTGTAGTAGATCTCCACACTGACTTCAGGTTGATGAAGGTCTGTCTTGCTATCTTTCCGATCCTGGCTGCTTTGACGCCTTCATCTGTGCCTGTTCCGCCTGTAGTTGAAACGATGCTGCCCTGCCTAAGTAGGTGAAAGAGACTACTTCCCTTAGGTTTCTCCCGTTGATGGTGATTAGTGCTTGTCGTTGATGTTGCTGTTGTTGTTTTGGTATTTTCATCACCTCTCTCTTCTCCACATTCACTTGAAGTCCCGTCTTCACTGCCCTACCCCTCTTGTCAACTTGTTGGTTTTCGCCTGTAGATCTTCAAGTTTGTGCGACAACACATTAGACACAAATCATCATCGCTGGCGAAATCCAAATCTTCTAGGCTCTTTTCATCGGTCCGGTCAGCGTATGCCCCTCTTCTTGCTCGTCACAGTTTGTTGCATGATCCAGTCCAGTCGACCACGATCAAGAAGATGACCGGTGATAGTAGGCGGTAACCTTGTCTTACTCCTTCCTATCTTCACTTCAAAGGCGTCACTGAGCTTTCCATTGTGAATCACTTGGCATGTAGCGTCATCATCATCACCATATAGCATATAGCTGTTGTTGAATGAGGTTGATAAAGTTTTGTGGTATTGAAACGGTAGCGTTGAGCAGCTGCCTGCCAGATTACTTCTGGGTCGACGCTGTCGAAGGCCTTATGAAAATCGATGAAGTTGAGGTGAAGATCCAGTTGACTGGTATTCTATGTTCTGTTGTGTGATGATGCATAGCGTTGCGTTGCAGTTTAATCCGCACAGATTTGTTGTTCCTGAAGTCAGCCAGTCAACCAGCGTGTTCCGATCATAATTTTGAATGCAGCGCATTTTTTAGTCTCCCCAGAATGATGCGGCTTTATATTTTGCTTAGTGCCGATATAGGTTGAGCATGATTTCGCACTAGTTGTTGCAAAGACTTAGGTCGCCCTTCTTTGAGAGTTTGACGAGGTAGCCTTTTTTTCATTCGGCTGATACCTTTCCTTCCTTCCTTACTTTTGTCTAAACATTCTGCAGTAATGGTGTGTTGTGAGCATGTTCACTAATGTATGTGTCTGTTTTCAGTACTTCTGGCGGAATTCCATCTGGTCCTGCTGCTTTCCCGGATTTCAGCAACTATATGGCGTTCAGAACTTCACTTCTGCTTGTGTCAAAGGGTTTGTGTTCACGGATAGTAGTTCTGTAACTGCTGATAGTATTTCTGGACGAGTTGCAGGGTGTGGTGGTCGATTCAAGAGTTTTTTGAAGTGGTCAGCCTAATTGTTTCTTTTGTTGCTCCCCTTTGCTACATTTCTTTCCTCATTTTTCATTCTTTTCTTCTGTGTTGATATCTGCCCTCCCAAATAGTAACCTAGTTATTTCATATAATGTTGGGTCTCTGTCTCCCTCACCTGTAGCCTGTTTTACATCAGTTGCAAGTATGTCTTAGAAGTGTCTTTTGTCTTTCCGTGCACTCTTCTTCACTTCCTTGTCCGGTGTTTTATACGTTGGTGTTCAGTTTCTCTTTACGTTGTTCATCCTTCTGCTGGTTCATCTTCTGCTTCACCATCTTCCTCTATCGGCTTCCATGTATCCGTTGAGATCCTCTCCTTGTCTTCTTCTTCCTTCCTAATACAGTTATGCAGGTTTCCTTCCACGTCTCTTTGACAGAGTTCCAGTGTTCTTCCACGCAGGTTCCCTCAGGGGTGTTGCCTAATGTCTCCCAATTTTTTTACTGATGACTGACTGACGGACTTGAAGATGTCCTTTGAAGTTTCGTCCATCAGTTTCTGGGTGTTGGACCTGAACTGTGGCCTATCACCAACTCCTGTGAAGGCTTTTGACTTGATTTTGAAGTTTCTTTGCACTAGATGGTGAATGGTCTGAACCTACATCTGCTCCTCTTCGTGATCTGATCTTGTGTCCAGTAGGCTGCGTCCCACTTTCGTCACATTGAGATGAAACCGATCTGGTTTTTAGCGTGTTCTGCTGTCTTGCGAAATCCATGTCGCTTAGTGAATATCCTTGTGTTTGTACACAGTGCCTCCGATCAGCAAATCGTTGAATGCACAGAAGTCGGCAAACAGTTCTCCATTCTCGTTCATTTCACGAAGTGCTTCTCGACCCATGACTGGTTTTCTTCCTGTGTTGTCCACTCCGAGTTTGGCATTCATGTCACCCCACCCATTAGAATGGATTTTGATGTCGCCAACCGGGCTGGAGTCTTATCCATTACTGATTCCAGTTGTCTGTAGAATTCCTCCTTCTCCCCTTGACCCGCATTATTTGTAGATGCATAGCGTAGCGTAGCATTGTATGATTGTGACTTTGCTTCCTTTTGAGTTGAATCCATCTTGATGTCATGATCCTGATCGTGTAGGCGGAGATTGGTTCCCACTGCACGAAAGAGGAGCTTCGATATTGTTGAGAGGGGGAAATCATGATAACTACTCCATAACTCAGTGTCCTCGTGGTTGTCGTCTGGGTGACATTATCGGAGTAGATTATTGACTCTGGAGTTGACAGTTTGGAGAGTCCACTTCCACTCGATCTGCTTTCGCAGATTCCTAACACTTCTACGTCATACCTTCTCATCTGTTTTGCAATATGGGCAGCCTAGCTAGGTTCATACATTGTGCGGACATTCCATGTCCCCATCCTTACTCTCTTTTTCATCGAGAAAAAGAAGAGACATCGGTCAGTCAGCTTCCTGAAGGCTTTCAACAACCGACGTCATTTCGTTCGTATGAGGAAGTATTTTGTTATGCCAACCGATTGTTATGTATAAGTTTACATTTTGCCATACTCCGCCGTTAGTTGTTAAAGCATGACGTATTTCGTCTAATTAAAATAAGTTGTTAGCCTAGCTATTGTTTTTGAATTCTTCGTGTACTGTACAATCCACTTTAAAAGTTGTTGAAACTGGGAGAAGGTTATCCTGTCTATTTTTTGTTCACTATCGTGTCTGAAATGTTTCACTGGTGCCTAGAAATAGCTATTAGTGTTAAAAAAGTGACATAGTTATGATTTAGTTTCCAAACCTCAAGCCTGTTTTGTTTTCAGAAATGTTTATTGCCAAGGTTAGTTATTAGATTTTATGACTGTTCTCAAGTGGCTTATAAGGCCACCCTAGCAACAACTGAAATAATTAATTAGACTTATATTTTATGGAAATCTACCTTTCCTGTCGAAATGAAGAAACCTAGTTGGTTATTTCGATCGATGCTAGGGTGGCCCTTAAAGTCGCTTCTGTTCTTAGAAAGCTGTTAGTTACGTCGTTTTATATTTTTTATCTATGTACTTAATTTTTTAAAACTCAAATACTTCCTTCTCTGAGTTTGTATGGTCTATTAGGATAAATCTGGAACCGTGGTTAGTCGGTTTAGAAATAAAAATGTCAGCTTTGGGTCATAGATGTAATCGGACTCCACTTACTTAAACCGAATCAGGTTGGTAATTTGGGATATTCCTTCACATTGTGTCTCAGCTTTGTATAGAAACTGGACAACGTAACTAAGTTCTTATATTGTATGTGATATGCAGTGTCAGGTCAAAAGTGTACTAGTTTTTGTTATTAACGTGCTTTTCGTACACACAGTACTTATATTGTGAATAAACATTTTTTTTATTAAGGTGATGCTGGCTCTTATGTCTATGTTTCGGACGAGTGCCGCATCTGTTGCTGAAGGCTCTGGAGATCAAGCTGTACTTAATGGTGAGACAGATAAGACCAAGTTCGGCGATGGTGTCCAGGAAGATGCACTTCTTGCAGTATCTGCGCTTGTTGAAGTTGTTGGAGAGTCTTTCGTCAAATATGTGAATGATTTCATGCCCATTTTGGTGATTTGTTTACGAAATCACAGTGAAACTCAAGTATGCATGAATGCTGTCGGTCTGTTAGGAGACATGTGTCGTGTATTAAACAAGAACTTACTTTCACACTGCGATGGCCTAATTACTATCCTAATGGAAATCTTACAAGTACGTGATTACTGTCTATGAATAAAACTTACGTAATTGTAGCCTGGAATTTCTGTAGAAAGTACAAATGTCCCTAGCAAAACTAACGAACGCCAGGATCTTTCATATTGTATTTAATCCATAATTTTCCTCATTATGATAAACGCATTCCAGAGACTGTCACTAAATTCCTCTGCATAAAGATGCTTGTGCTCACAAATATATAAAGTTTAGCGTGAAGCAAAGTCTTCGCTGAAATTTCCGTCTATATGGGTCAAGCAATTAACCTTTTTTGGCTAAGAAGTCAAACACGTAGATCGCCAAAGAATGCACTTGAAATGTGTAGACATTTTGGATATTTAGTATTTGACTTCCTTCAGCGTAACTGCAGTAACCGTATATATATGTGTGTGTGCCTGCTAGTATTGAACGACTTCTAAAAACGGCATAATTTGTACCTTGCATTCAGTTTATACTTGTTTATCCATCGTATTGTTTACTGAGTTTATTACATCGGTCTGGTGCCGCTAAGTAGGTGGGTGGGTGAAAATCGATTGACTTGGCCAAATAAAGTTAGCCGAGAAATGTTTTATTTCCCTACACCCTAGAACTGTGATATTAAGATAGCTGACTTATAAGTCCTTTTGCTGTTTTCTCTAGGATGTGAATGCTCACAAATCTCTCCGTCCCGCAATTTTGTCTACTTTCGGTGATCTTTCTCTGTCTTTGGGTTCAGAGTTTGGAATTACCTTCCTGTTGTCTTAGAAACATTGAGTCAAGCTACACAAGCTGAAGTGAATCTTGTAAGTTTCTTTCAAAATACTTAAATTGACCGTTGATTGGAGTTTTTCTAAGTTTTTAGTTGATAATCTTTTGATAGATAAACATTTTGGCATGGTACTTACCCAATTCAATCGTTTAACAGTGTTTTATTATTTAAAAAATCTAAGCAGGAGAGACTGACAGTGATTCACTTCACTCTCTCGTAATGACTCATTTGTGTAGCTATTCGATTCGTGTCATGGAACTGATTGAATTCTCTAGGTACAACTTGAAATTAGTTTTCATCGCAGACGGGGTATTGGGAAACTGTTTCGTCGCAGTGTAGTAGTCTTCAGCAGCTATCCCAGTGCTCGCAGAATTTTAGTGTTTTTCTTTTTGGTGTCAGTCTGTGACACCATATGCCAAGTGATTCACAATGGAAAGCTCAGTGACGCCTTTGAAGTGAAGATAGGAAGGAGTAAGACAAGGTTACCGCCTACTATCACCGGTCATCTTCTTGATCGTGGTCGACTGGACTGGATCATGCAACAAACTGTGACGAGCAAGAAGAGGGGCATACGCTGACCGGACCGATGAAAAGAGCCTAGAAGATTTGGATTTCGCCAGCGATGATGATTTGTGTCTAATGTGTTGTCGCACAAACTCGAAGATCTACAGGCGAAAACCAACAAGTTGACAAGAGGGGTAGGGCAGTGAAGACGGGACTTCAAGTGAATGTGGAGAAGAGAGAGGTGATGAAAATACCAAAACAACAACAGCAACATCAACGACAAGCACTAATCACCATCAACGGGAGAAACCTAAGGGAAGTAGTCTCTTTCACCTACTTAGGCAGGGCAGCATCGTTTCAACTACAGGCGGAACAGGCACAGATGAAGGCGTCAAAGCAGCCAGGATCGGAAAGATAGCAAGACAGACCTTCATCAACCTGAAGTCAGTGTGGAGATCTACTACACTGCACTGCACCCAGCATAAAGCGTGTGTGAACAAGATCCGGATTTTCAACACTAATGTCAGTCAAGTCAGTGCTTCTATATGATGGTTGAGAGACTTGGCGCGTTACGAAAAGCATTTTCAAAAAACTACAGACATTCATCAACAGCTGCCGCCTACGCTCGCTCACTATATACTGAAGATGAGATGGATGGCCAGGAAGAATAAGCAACGAGGAACTCTGGTTGGTTGCCAAGGCACCAGCCAAGAACCCATCATCCAACAAATGTGCAGAAGAATATGGAGATGAGTTTGGTATACACTGGGAAGACGGTTTGGGGACTTCACGCGCTTGCCAATACCCTCGAGTGGAACCAGAATAGGAAACGAGTTGGGCGTCTGCGGGTTACTTGGAGGAGATCGTGTGAAGAAGAAATGAAAGCTTGTGGGAAATCTTGGAGTCTGGTTGAAAGGACTACAGAGAAGAGAGTGCAATGGAGACGTGCCACTGAAGCCCTATGTTCCACTAGGAACCCAAGTGACAAATAAATAATGTTATAATAATCATCAGTATTTGGCCAATGTAAAACTGCTAATTGATTCCACCATATAAGGTTCTGTTGTCAATAATCTTTTTGTACTTTTTGATGAATTGTACATATTTATTTTTCAGGAGGATCCAGATATGGTGGAATATCTCAATTCTTTACGTACTAGTTGTCTAGAGGCTTATACAGGCATTGTCCAAGGACTTAAAGGAGACGGGCCACGTAAGTTTTCGCGCAATGTAGGTTTTATTTTACTCCTCTTGCATCATAGTATACGTTTCACAGCTTGCAAATTTATTTCATCATAATAATGCGTTCATTTATTCTTTCTTCCAGAATCTACTGCAGCTTTGGAGTTTGTCGCCGGTCATGTACCTCATATATTGTCATTTATCCAACATATCGGTGCAGACTCAATCACAACAGAAGATCTTATATCTGCTTCATGTGGTCTAATTGGGTTAGTCAGATTATTTATAATTATTGTTTTTTTACGTGATTCGAAGCAAACTAGATTTTTACAAAATAGAAGGAGTACTACGACTGTTAATATGCCTTTAAATGTGATGTGTTCTGCTGTGTAGGGAATATAATTTGAGGGAGTGAAGTGGCAGAATGCGTTGACCGCTTGACTTTCCTGGGGGGGGGAGGAGTTGTATCAATCTGAACGGCGTGGTTGCTGATGAAATCTCAGCTGGAACACAAAAGGCCTGTTCGGGATTTGCCGACTGGTAAGATGTCAGACTATCTAATGAAGGACCAGTATACTGCACTCCTTTATGGTTATGTGGCTGTGAGATGGCCGTTGAAACTAGAAGAGATTACAGTTTTTTGAACACAAGTATCTTAGGATTGCTTTCGTATAGTGAAACTACCATGGTAGCTTTGTCGAGGATAAGTTAAGGGTATCAGGCAAGGAAGCAAAGCCGCTGGATTGGGTTGTGAGCTTTCATCGACCGAGGTGACTAAGACATGTTTTTCGCATGCTAAACCACAGCTTACCTCTATGTGAAATGCTATGGGAAGCTGGATTATATTGAAAAAGGGTTCAGGATATCCAGGCCGTGACGTGGCACCAGTACGTGAGGTCTTTTAATGTTAGTGTGAGCCGTGTAGGGACTACCTGAGTACTGTTTTCGAGGTGATAGGAATCACTGGTTAGAGATTCTTGTTGAGATGGCCGAAAATCGGTCACATTAGAGTGGGTTTACTCACTTTTTGACTTTTAAAGTTTTCATTTTCACTCACCATCATCTTCAGTTTCTTTCTCCCGGATTTTTTCTTTTATTTTGGTATCAATTTGTTTCCATCCATTTATTTTTTGTATACTACCGTAAATTGTGGTAACTTGGACCGATGTATTTGTGTATGTGGCTTCACCTTGATTTTGTTTGTCTGTCACATTGTAGTTGACTTTCTATTACACTCAACTGTTTAAATATACCCACACTTGCGTATCCTTTCTCACATCTATTGTTCACCTGCTGAAGTGAACAACAAATCAAAATCTCAGTAACCACTTTCATCTCTGTATAGTAAGCAATGAGCAATACCTATTGTGTGTGTTTGTGATACCTAACTGTTCAAACAACGGTAGAAAGAATGAGGTTCCAACCTGTGTTCCATCCGTTTGAAGTCGAGTCCCAGGACCAAAGATCCACGGCCCCACTACTGAATTAAACACAAAACAGGATATTCGCAACCCTTTCACTGGCTATTTCTTTTTTAAATTTTCAGCTAGTTTGTTTATATAGCCGAATAAAGTGCTATTAAGATGAATGCAAATATTTCGGGAATCTGTTTTGGTTACTAAAATGAGAGACAAAGTTTTAATTGACTACACCTATGCACCGAGGCGACAAGAGGTAAAATGATAATCAACATATCTTTCAAAAGCCTGTAGAATGATTATGATCAAAGTAATAATATTACATGATTTCTTTTGAAGTAAGTACGATAACTAACTAAAGTATAACATCTTTTCGTTATTCCATTCAAACAACATTTGTCAGCATAAATTAATTTGAATGTCTTTCTGAAAATTCATTTTCTACACTTGAACTCATATATATATATATATATATATATATATATATATATATATATATATATATATATCCACTGAATGCAGTTATTCTGTACCGTAAATGTTTTCCCCCCTAAATCGCTTCATAAAAACAAGGATATAGACGTGTGGAAATCTGCATACTGTTCTCTTCGTTAAAAATAAGGTTGATTTTTATTTGGATATCACAGTGATGTGTGCAGTCATACACTTTGTTCTCAAGACCTACACACTTGAATTTCTGTTTATTTGAAATCAGTCACTTTTTGTGCTTCAGTATCCTCATGGTGAACTAATCAAACTTTCAATTAATAGTGACTAGTTACTCTGATAAGATGTGTGCTGTTGTGAAGTGTGACAACTTGAATCAAGTGTGTGCTACTGTTGTATGTTAATTTTGTCTGCCTATTTCGATCACATAACATAAACATTCTCTTTTCCTTCCTAGGGATCTCGTGTCAGCTTATGGTGGTAGCATTCTGTCTCTTGTAGAAGTTGATGGAATTGCATCAGTTTTACAAAGAGGCAGACGAGCTAAAGCTTCTCGAACTAAGAACTTAGCGGTTTGGGCGACAAAAGAAATCCGAAAGTTGAAAAATGCAGCTAATTCTGCAGCCACCGCCGTTTCCAATCCAGCCTTATCCCATCCAGCTACCACTGTCCAAGCTTCTCCCTCTGGATAGAGTGGTAAGTAGTTTTCTGCTGGAAACTTACAATTTGATGATAAATGCTATATTCAGTTGATATAGGTTTCCATCTGTATATGCGAAAGTTTTTTTCTCTGATGAAGTAATGACTGAAAAATGACATCCTTTGACTTACTTGAGCAGCCAAATCTCAAACGAGTCTTTCATATGCATATCGAGTTCTTAAGAGTAACCAGTTAGATCACGCTAAAGAAACCTCCAGAACCCATTTCCATTATTTAGACACCTTTTCCTACTTCTGAAACAAATATCTATGCAGACGTGTCCTGCATCACTATCCTTCATTCAAGTGATCAGCGTTTTCACTCAACAGAACTATCTCCCGTCAGAAGAGTTCTCTGGGCAGCTGAAAACTTTTATGGAAGCTCAGTCATCTATATCATCATCATCAACATAGGACCAGGCATTACTGCGTAACGGTTGCCACAGCTCATATCAGTACATCAAGTAAATAGGCAGTGAGGTGAAGGATGAAGATAAGAGAATGCAGTCAAAAGAAATATAAAGTACGAGAAGAAAGGAAAGAGGAGTGACAAAATGGTGCGATTCTGTATGGCGTTGTTAAGATGAGGATAATGTGTGTATATATCTGCGCCACTCACATCGGTTCTGAGCCATATCACCTAGGGTCTCCAACCACTGGTTCCTCTTGTCCCGTGGACCCCAACCACCTAGTCTGCATCGTCCTACATGGCTTAAACCAACAGTCAGAGACTTCATACATTGGTGCCATGTTTTAGTCTGGCCACCTCGGGCCTTTTTCCAGCCTGGACCCACCTCAGCCAACATTGTGTGATGAGGCAATCGGTGACTAGGCATACTTAGTACGTGTCCTAACCATCTCAATCGATGAAGGTTCATAACCTGGTCAACTGATTTACCTCTACTCCCTAAAATTCTATACCTGACTTCTGCATTACTAACATGGCGACACCACAGAATACGTCCTATACTACGAAGCAACTGTGTTAAGTGGATAAAAATGTGACGTTTATCATTGGCTGCGTGAGGGCTTCGGTTGACAATCTGAATAATGCTTGTGAGTTTGCATGGTTACTCATACCACGTTTTTCACTTGTGTAACAGCAAACCTGAAAGGAACCTGGTTTTCCAGGGTTTTCTCGTCTATGAATTACGGTTAGCAAGTAGAATTGGATACGCTATTCTACTCATGTTAACTGACCTATTGATATCACAGGTGAGTTTTCTTATAAAGTTGGAGGATCAGCGTACGACACCAATCTATTCTCAGAGCTCCTGAAAACGTTACGCCAATATACATCACTGGGAGTCCCTCAGTCACATGTAGGTCACATTAACGGCTGCAGATCATTTTCCTGAAGTAGTTGTTGCATTCAAACATGAAGTTTCTCTTAAATGGGTATGCTCACAACTATTGACATCTGTTTCCACATACAGAACGACTGCAAACGTGTGCATAATTTCGACCACATTGTTTTCCACCTATCGAAAACATTATGTATGGTTTCATTCCTTGTTTTACATGACATATATTTTCCATATTATACAGTTGTTTCATCAATTAGCAGTGTTCACCAAAGTATATAATGTTTGCTAAAGTCGAACATCAAAGTTCTTGTCCATCCCCTTTGTTCATTTGCTATTTTTCTTCTTTTTGTTTTCTCTTCCTTGCAGGTCTTCCTTCAGTTACTTTCCACTTTAGATGGATCACATCGATGATCATCCTACACTTTGTACATTCTACGAATAAAAAGACTATATTTGATTGTTTTTTCCTTACCAATATGCTTCTTTCTGTCGCACATACATACAAAGAGTTTCCTTAATCCCGTCTTTATAATCAAGTATTTACTACTAATAAAAGGTTGATATGTCTTGGGTGTTCTTCGTATACATTGTTTAAATTTTTTGTTAGTTACCGTTCTTATCAGCAAGTTGGTGTTTTCTTATTCACTTGGAAGATGCAGTGTGAATGGTTGCATGTTCGGAAAAATTGGTGTTTGTTCAGATTAGGAAAGTGAATAGTTAGCATGCAGTCATTCCGCTAAGTTGAAACAATACATACAACTGTAGGAGTCTTATTCTTTGGTCAACTTTAATAAGGATGTCTGAATTCATAAGGCGCATAGATTATTCTGTTCTTCTAATTTCTAGGTTTGTAAACGTGATAGTATTATGCGTACACTGAAATGCAAGAAAATCTGATACTTTGCGGCATCAGCTGTTTAAAACTCAGTAAAATGTTTAACTCACTAGCGTATGTATTCGCATACACAGCATTCTGTTTAACTAGTTTGAGCTTGACCAAATTGTTCACTGCATTAAATGTCACAAACAGAATTAGGGCTATGCAGTTATTACCGGGGACATATTGTTTGCTTTAGTGACTTTTTGGCGTTACTTCATTGGCTATTAGTTATCTGGTGACCAGATGATCTTCGCGTCATTTTTTTGTGTATATGGCAGTTCATTAAATTACATGATGTACATATAACTCTGTTGTTTAGCAGTTCTGAAACTTACTCAGGTATTCTACAGCAGTCACATTATTGGAGAGAGCATAGTGAGTCAGTAAGTAACGCAGTTATCAGATACCGTTTCGAGCATTTAAGTGTTCGCTTGATCAGCAGTCAGTTCGGTATTTTCGCATACATAGTTGCCCAAAGCAGCGAAAGGGGTTCGACGAACTTAAAAAGATAATACCATAGACAAGAAGAAATGCAAGAAATTAGAAGTAGAAGTTTGAACGTAGTGTAATACAACCTCACCGTGATATCAGGCTCTTTTCCCCCTCTACTTTTTCAAATCCTTACGGTATCAGTTCGTGACTTTCAGTCACTAAAAGTAGAGAAGTAGCATCCAATTTACAGACATTTTGACCGAAAGTTGATGTTCAGACCGCAAGTGATAATTATCTCCAAAGTCCAGTGTCATGAGTGAATACCAAGTAGTGGGAAGCAATCGACAGAAAGCCTCATACTTAGATCTAGTTGCTGTTACTTGGATACAGCTCACATCCGCTGATATGCGGGACAAGATTAAACAATGAATGGTCACTAGGAATTTGCTTTATATACCGTAATTATCGTATTATGCCACCATAAAGTGTTTTTGCTTCTCATTTAGTTGAGTTTAGGAATATAGTTTCTTTACGCATGCCGCTTGTTTCACCTACTCCGACGTGTATAGCCACTGAGTATAACAGCCTATTATATCTGCGTCGCCTATAAGAGTTGCATTGCACTTCGAATAAACCTGATTATTGTTGCTGATAGCTTGTGATACTTATTCAGTGTGATCGTACCAGGTCAAAACACTGATATATTAACGGCTCTGTTAATACTTAGCTCAAAGAACTATACGTGACTTAAGCTGCAAGACTCGCTATGATTTTTGAAAACTAGCAAACATTTTTTTATTAAACACAGCACGGATACAAGCTGCCGATAAAAAATCCATTGCAGTACTTGAGGGCTATTTTACGGTAACAATACAGCTTGTACTGAATTGATCAGCATAATTTGCGGCCGCTCTCGTTTGCTGATGAAATATTTTAACTAAAGCGAAAGTGCCTCACCCGAAAATTGAAATAGCATCTTACAGATGTTCTTGTCCGTTCTAAAGGATTTCTCGTGAACAGAAATAACAATCGAGCAGGTAGGGTACGATGCAGAAGTGTATGCCCAAAATATTCACGATATGATCATTGACATTAACTTTCACTAACCGTAGGTTAGTGCTCTTCTGTCTTTTTTGTCGCTGTGGGGTTTTAACTTGAACTGATGCACTTTGTCATATATTCTATACTGATTTGGCAATCTATATACTTTTATCTGTTTGCCATTTATCCTGTTTAACTTTTATAATCAGTCGTTTCTAAAGTCATAACCACCCGCCAGAAACTCTACAGATCGACCCTGTGTAATGACTACTCTTGGGACACCTTGGTTTCTGTCCCAAAAGTGGCTTTAAGAGCTGTGGCTCATTGGTTCAACGTAGAGACTTTCAACCAGTGGTTTGCAGGTTAGAGCAGCACTCCGCCTACTGATTTTTAAGCAAGTTGGTAGTATCGTTTGCCCTCACACTATGTCCGGGTCGTTGCCTGTTGCACGAATGTGCACTGGGTTGCTGAGTGCATTTCAGATGACTTTTTCTAACACAGAACTACTTCAGGTAACTCAAGTTTATTAACCCAATTTTTTTACAATCTAAGTATTGCCCATTTAGTGATTAAAAATCACATAAGCTATGCTTCGAAAAGGCAAGCACTAGATACTTTGTTTTACTGTCGACATTTGATAACTATCCAAGTAGAAGCTGGTCTACTTACTTTTCTTCGGAAAGACGGAGTAAACTTACCGACGGCTAAACGGTACTGTAACTTAACTTTTGCCGCTTAAATGACCTATCGGGATTGATACGACTTGCTGAAGATATCAGTACTAAAGTGTTTCCGAAATCCCATATGTTGACGCTCATGACTACAAATCGCGACCTGTTGTTCGTATTCATGACACAACAACGAGGAGCTTCGCATGCAGAGGTGCATTTCCTCAAGTTGCCACACTTCACAATAGTATACAAATAACAAGTCGATAGCGAGAGTGATATCCAAGTAGACAGTTGCTTGGGAGGAGAAAAAGCTCAAAATAGGTTAGTCAAAAATACAAGCTTTAGAAAAAGCAGAGAGTGAATACATTTAACGCCACTGACAGGTTTTCAGCCTTGTCATTAAAGGCTCTCAACCACTGATTTCTCCAGTCTAAGGGACCCCAATCTGGCAGTTTCCATCGAACGACTCAGACCAAAACTCAGAGACTTCGTCGACTGGTGTCGCGTCTTGTTCTGACCATCTTGAACTCTTCAAACCCAATCCGACAAGTAGCATCGTAGTAGATGGTGACTTGGCGCGCACAGCACATGTTCGATCCACCTCAGTCACTGGAGTAGTTGCAGACCAGTCCTAGAGCATTATGTGACATTCGGCAGCTGCGAGGTGCTTGCCGAACATTACTTAGATTTCTCACCGACGTGTTTACAAGACCCTGCATTTTGGCTGGAGATTCGATCAACGCACTCTAGTCTAGATGTTAAAATTGCCTGATGTTCGTGAGCTGGAGTAAAACGTTGGATAACTATGCACCCAAAGAAATTGGATACGATGCAAGTTCAACTGTTTTCTATGGTTTGTCACAAGATGAATTGATTTCTTCCTTATGGACTCGAATGAACAGTGTAGACCAGTCTGATGGGACTATCTCTTATTCCCATGAACCACGTAGCACCTCCATTATTCGGCTCAGTACTTTCCTGCCCTTATCCTTAAAAGCGTGTTTGCAAAACGTCAGTTCCTACACCTTTGTGTCGTTTCAGGATAGAGACAGCGGATATCTAACTTATTCAGATTCGGGCTAGAGGCTTGGCAACTAGGACATTTATGTAGTCCATTTGAACTGTTATTCGATGTTTTAACCCTCTATCCTGCGAGGTTATTAACATCCCATTCTTCGAGGTGACGGTTTTACTAACCATCGTCTTCTTATTCCCTGTATCCTTAGTAGGCCTAAATGGTTGCTGGGTGTTACCCAGCGCTGACGCCTTCATCTGTCTCGCTTTCGACAACCATCGCTGCTTATGATCATTACAGAGACTTAGTCAATTTACACTTAAGCTGCTTTCGCTTTTCATTGTGATCAAAGCTAGATGGAATAAGTCTTCAACCACAGATCCCTTTTGTCTCGGGGACCCCACCCTGGTGATGTAAATCTCCCCACACGGCTCAGATCGACAGTGGAAAACTTCATGGACTGGTGTCACATCTTGGATTGGCCTACCCCAACTCTCTTCCAAAGTAATCCACCTCCCCCTAGCGTGGCACGTCGAGGTAGGCGGCGGCTTGGCATGCGCAGTACATTTCGATTCACAGTCGAATTGCCTCAACACTGCTCACACGGCGATTCCACCATACGCGAGCAACGCTACGAAGACACCTGCGATTAAAACCCTGTGACCTCTTTATATCTTCTGTTACTAACGCTCATGTCTCAATATTCCTAATCATCATATCGAATTTAGCTACCTTATTTTTATTTTCTGCTGACTTCCCGCGTCACTGTTGTCTTTAATCTTCGTGCCTTTACGCTGATGGGCTGATAAGACGCGTAGCAACTTGGACGGTTATGCAGTAATGTCGGGTTCCATGTTCAAACTGACTAATTGAACACTTATTGATGATTGATTAATACGAATTAATCGCATTCTCCAAACTAATATATTCACCTAGCCAGTGACTAAAATATCGTTTGATCATAGACAACTTGAGATAATACCAAATACACTAAAGTTACAAAATCATGATGGTTGTAACGCAGTTGTGGAAAAACTACAAAATGATATCCATATCGTAATAACTGTCTTCTGAACACTTTAATCAAGTTAAAAAGTGAATAACCTACTTAGCAACATTTATTGTATTTTAATGCATAATGTACTTAAGGAATATATTCTAAAAAAGAAATGAACCATAAGAGTTATGAACATGGATAAATCATATTGTGATATACATATACATTGAAGGGAGTGGGATAATAGATACAAAAGTCAATTATTAAAGCGAGAAAAATATATCATTTTCGTGATTTAACGCGATCACGTTGACGTGTTGTACCTTTACGTGAATTACTCAATCCATAGGATGCTGAATTGGATAAAGCTGACTGATGACCAGGTTTCGCAGATGAATCATGACTGCCTGACAATGATTTCACTGATGGTTTACGACTACTGACAAGTGGATGAACCTGAAATATGAACACACAAAATGTGAAAATTTAGGTAGTGAAAAAATGATATTCAATTCAAGTAGATAAAAGTGTATGAAACGTAAACGAATAGATATATGGAGGTTACTTACTGCAAACGTAACTCCACCCTGTAAAGATATTTATGTTTCACAGCATGAGTTAAGCTGATCCTACGAGGGCTTATGATAACACAGCCCAAATTATATGCAGTGGAGATTCGAAAATGCAATTCATTGCTTCAAGGTCGGATTCTTAAGCCAATGAGATACATCTACTTAATAAAATGCTGAAAACCTTGACGACGGAAACAAGTGTACACATCTATGCCATTGTAACTGATTTTAACCAATATCACTAAAGGTGTTCCACTACTAACTCCTATTATCTTAAGGTCCCCTGGTTAGACAACAAAGAGTCACAGCCTTCAAACTGTATTTTGGTTCGACTATCCTTAGCTCTTTTTCCAACCCAATCCTACTTCCGATACGATCGCACATCAAGGTATGCAGCGATTAACTATGCGCAACATATGTTAAGAACCATCCCCCATTGATTGCTGCAGGTTCGTGATCTCACTCAAGCCTTACAACAACAATAGCCTACTGTTTAAAATAACTAAGATGCATATAACACAATTAACTATACTTGAATGGTGGAATACTTGAACAGATAGGTAAATTCATGCGATATTCTGATCTAATGATGGTTACTCATGAAAACCTGCTTATTAATGACGAAAATCACCTACTGAACTGATCAAAAATGACTAACATTATTATGACCCAACGGTCTATGTTAGTAGAACACTTGTTCCTTTAAAGTACTTTACCATACCGGGAAGGTCGGTAGAATGGTGGTGAGACGGAGAGCTGTTACCGTTATGGTCTAAATTGCTACACTATGATGGGGGTCAAGGGGTGATATTGTACTTCAAACTGAACGGGGTGTGATAACACTAAGAAATATCTCACAGAAGACCAGTAGTACCATGAAGATACTGCCTTCCCTGTGGAAACGAAGGGGTTAAAAAGGTTGGCCCCGAAAGCAGAACACCTCGGTACTCTGTCTTCCAACACCGGTGATATGGGTTTGTAGCTAGATTGGAAATAAAAACTGAACCTTAACCTTCAAAAAAGGTGCATGTGACCGGCCTCAGCTCTTTTTTTAACCACCTGTTCTTTGTGTAAAGCATGGCAACTTGAGACGATGCACTTGTGTGCGAGGTTTCACGTTGATTTTGCCAGTCAGGTGACCCTTGGGCTCTGCGACAACACGCACCACTACTAACCGTTCCTTTCCAGGTACCCGAAGAGAAACTAACTAACCTTCCACGGCGTGGGCAGCAACTTGCCTTTTAGTTCTTCTTTAAGTTTCTCTGTCAATATTCCTACAACATCTTTAATTTTCTACAGATCTTGACAATGATCCCACTTCATGCACCAGCATCCCGAATCTACTGAAACCGCGCTTCAGAATACGCACTGAAGCTCTCAATATCTACATTCTCTGTCAAATCAGCCAATAAGGTACGCCAGCCAAAACTCTGACATCTCTGGCAACGGATGTGTGCTGTGAGACATGCATAGAGAACCGAAATGTTTTATTTACATAACTTCACCCTGACAGCATGACGACTGTGCAAAATTTACTCTTCAAGTTTCTGGAGACTTAACCGCTAGTTCTCACGGTCTTGCAAGTATAAGTATCGCATTAAGTGGTAAGGCAAGAAGTGGATCCCAGATGACAGTCGGCTGTGCGCTCTCCTACTGAATGGTGCAATGAAGACTAAAAAAAGTATTGGGAATCACCATCATCTCTTGATAATCTCTGCTGACGCACCCATGGATGAGTTCTACCAAAAACTATCTAGCCTCCTACTGAAAGCCGAACAGGTAGTTTAAATCAAGCAGAAAAGCACCTTTGGAATGCTAGTCGGACGAAAGACAACGGTGATCCCCTGCTACAGATATGCTCAGACAACCATCTACTTCTGGCTGGCACGAACTTCAGACATAAAAAGACATTTTCTGACAAGGTATCCACCAACCTCAAGTCGACGGAGATAAAGATCTGCCAAACTGCTAGAGAGGGTCAGCAGAAGATTGCTGCTTGTTCTGTAGTACAAGCATAGACAGCGATCACGCACATATCTGTGCCTAGATGGGTATAAAAAAAATACAACGACAAGATCATTCCAAGCACAGCTCAAAAATGAAAATACTGAAGCACCTCCCGGAGAGAAAATGGTTAGACAGTTATCGGAACACGACAACACCACTCAACCAGAACAAGCCAGACACTATCTTTAGTCTGCTGTGAAAAAAAGCGTTAAAGACCATGAATGATCTTCACAAAAGGGGTTAGTGTATCCACGTGGCTTCTTACGAATTAATGAATACATGCGAAAGCATTCCTGCAGACTCTAAGCACAATGAGGAGCAAAAGCAACTGAAATGCAGACTGACACAGAGTCTACGCAATGATCACGAGTAATGGTTAGTATCGAAAGCTAAGAGTATCGGAAAAGCGGTGGTGACAGGTAACACTAGACAACTATTTAAACTGATCAAGGAAACTGGGGTGAAAAGGTGAATGGTTATTGAAACTAGCAATTCACTCGCAAGGGATACGACTGGAAAAGTAGGTGGATAACTTCATGGAACAATTTTAAACTGACGTCCAGCTATTATTTCGTTATCCGCTATCCAGTCTCATCCCCGACGAAGCACTAAAATACGCCTTGCGGAAATTGAGAAGGTGATAAGTATCCTAAAACGAGGAGGCGAAGAAAGCCGAGATGGGCTGATATTAGGGGTGTTCAAGGACGGTGGTAGATGATTATTGGTTCAACTAACCAATGTTAGCTAGCGTATAGCAATCAGATATGACCCTTTGTGACTGATCTTAATCACTTACTGTCCAAGTCTTCAAGAAAGAAGAAAAATTCTCATATGATAACCACCGAAGAATCAGACTGACACATAGTGTATAAGATCTTAGGTTTTGTGGTCACTAGACACCTAAAAGGAGCTCGCGAAAAGCAGGTGAGTTTCAGACCTTATCGCAAGTGAATACCTAGATATTCGCACTCCGCCAGGTTCTAGAACACAGGGACACTTACCGGCACCAGACATTCGGTGTATTTCTTGATTCGAAGGCAGCATGCGATGCAGTCAACCGAAAGGTGTACCGAGTAAGTACATCACTCTCTTTAAGGCTATATACTCGAAAACCTGTGATCGTCATAGAGCCTATAGTGAGTTTTAATGCCAGGTCCCACCTTGATACTATCTAGCTAATATTATTGTGAAATACAATGCTTACATATTCAAACCATGTTGGGATTTAATGGTCTGAAAAAGTTCGGACAATGATTAAGTAATGGTCATTACTACAGTGTTCGTATTTCTCAGTTGATGAGAGACAAAACAAGGTTATTTTTACTGGCATTTCGCTGTTTAGAGCTAATATATTCCACAACCAACCTTACACAATAGTGTCTCAGTTCCAGTTACCAGGTTATACAATATAACAGTAAAACAAAATCATATGCCTGTATCATATTGAACGAGAAATGAGATGGGAATCACAGTGTTTCACACCTTCAAGGCAATATAAACACTGAACTTATTGCAGTTTGAAACTGCTATTAAGTTTCACCAGCTGGTTTTCCCCACTCACAAATTCATACATACCCAGGATTCAAAACACTAAGACTTCTACAAAATGCTCAATAGAATTCGGTAAGCACTTAAGATTAGATAACGTGAAGTTAGTTATCTTTGAGTGAACAATCAATGTATTTAATCTAATTCTACAAGAAGTCAGTCAATGATCGACCGAATAGCTTAACGATACAGTCGCTAATTGAAGCACTAGGTGATGTGAGTTCAGATCTCTGAGAGGATATCAACCCCAGTAAGGTTGAAAATACGTCTTGTTGACAAGTGCCAACAAAGCAAGAAACCTCGATGAAGGGATTCCTGCTTACTACCTCCAAGAGCCTAACAGGACTACAATATCTACACAGCTAAAATCGAGTCTAATTTTATAGATTCGATTCTATGCTAAGAAACGGAACATCTAGAAGCTTTTTTTAACGAAAACCAGTATTTTAGAAAGGATAACTGCTGCTCTGTCTTTTCAATAAACAGATTCAGAAGAAAGATAGCATTTGCTGAAGATATCACAAAGTGTCTACGGTTAACAGCAAATCCTCAACATTGGAAGATAAAACTTGAACACACTGAAATTCTTGAAAATTATTAACAGTGTGGACCAAAAAAATAACACGAACTCCTACTTCATCGTCACTTACTGACATCAGTTGGGGAACTAATGAAAACCTGGAAACACTGGACAGCTGTTTCGTCTTAGTATGGGACTCCTCAGCAGTACGCAGTACTGATGTCAGTTCGTGAGTACTACCTCAAAATCAAAGACCCCATTCATCTCAAGAAATGCATTACTGTATGGTGCTCATTGGTGACATACTTCCAGATGGATATCAGGAAGTCCTAATGAGAGGCCGTCACTTGTGGGGTAAACCAGTCGAGTGGGAAGCAGATGCCAACTGAAGACCTTGGGTGATAGCCGCTCTATATGGTGAATTGACAGCAGTTGGAAACTGTGAACCTCCAAACTCCGACCCAGTGGTTGAATGGTTAACGCGTTCGCGGTGAAACCTGGAAGTTCTAAGTTTGGTGCCTAGCCTGGTTGTAGGTGCGTACTGCTGAGGAGTCCGATACCAGGACGAAACATATGTCTAGTGTTCCCGGGTTCTCAATGGTTCCCCAACTGATGTCAGTCTGTGATGAATACTACCTTAAAATTAAAATCCCCATTCATCTCAAGAAAAAATATCTTACTTCATCAGTTTGTGCGCCAGGTAGGTGAACTGAAACTGTCGGAATAGAATGAGATGGATCAGAAGATTTAGAGTGTTTCGTTGACGGTTCAGTAGATCGAATCGATGCAGAATCAGGACGTTTTCTATTGCCAACACCCGTTGGACGTTCAGAATTCTGTGTGCTTACAGATTCCTCTCCACCAGATAAATCATCTGGATTATCAACTTCCGGCGAAATAGACAAATACATGAGAATATCTTGACACTCTTCATCTTCATCGCTACAATCATAAAAAACGTTGTATAATTCATGCATTATACGTAAAATAGATTATTAATTTTTTTTTAAAAAAGTTTGTTTTAACCAACGTTTGACGGTAACCATAAACAATAACGATTTAAACATTCCAAGGCGGGTAAACTAATATTCATTTTTAAAAGTTAAGAATGGAAAAAGAGATGTTGTTATCAGCTCAATTAAAACAAAAGGAAGGGATAAAGATATTTTGTGTAAAAAAAAATGTAATAGTTCATCTGCTCAGTTGTAGTAAGGTATATTTAGCTGTAGCGATTATGCTTAGCTCTTAACAGTCGTATTGTTCAGGACAACATTGATGGGTATTGTGAAGTATTGTTTTTATTCAGCAAATTATATTCACCAGTGATATGAAATAACAAAAGCGCATATAATGAATGTCTTCTTTGCAAAGATCAGTCATTTTCCTCTATTCCGCGTTCTTTATTACTGATCTTATTTCTTTCTCCTAAGCATTTCTCCAGTTAATCGTCTGCTCTTGTGACTTTTACTGAGAATACTGCACTACACATTGTTATTTAACTTTGATTGGTTGTAATTATCTGAAGTGCATGATTCTGTCAATTCAATCTTTCCACTTAGATAGGTCATCACGCAAGGAGGGACTGCAGGTGTACAGTTCAATGTCCTGTAATTCTTCAGTGGATAATACATCATAGCATAGTCCATAAAATGGGATGCACTACCAATTGAATTTAGATAATGCAGTTACATAATCATTTGCCAATTGTAACATAAAGTGCATATATTTGTATCGAAATTTTGTGGTGTTATAGTTTCAGAGAATGAATGTTGCGATGACCTTTTGTTACTGAATTCATTGAAAACAAACTGTTTGTATGCACAGCTTTTTAATTTACGTATTTGTGCATATCTGTATTTGCTATTTATAATCATTGCTATGGATTTACATAAAGAAGTTGATTATACCGCTAACCGCATTTGAGCCCCATGTTACGTATGCACTGACCGTATCAAAACAATTGCAACACGTTTGCATAGCAGTTTTGAATTTAGTGCGCAGAACATACTGAAGATGTCCACTGAGTTAAACTTCTCAAGTCGTCGAGCTGCCCTAATCTGTTGTTATTGTACGGGGTTCAAATTGACAGAGGTCTAATACACCAGAGAGTTACCATTATGGTCATAAGCTAAGTGAACTGTATGAGCATCGAATGTTGTTGTCATCTGCACCACAAACAGTACTTGATAAGTTGAGGTGATGACCGTTAAACGGGGACAGGGCAAAGATGGGATGGTGTCACGAACAGGGCATTCAGTGGTACTGCACGGAGAATCGCGCTATTTTATGCAGTTTGAAGAGGATGAACGGACCAGTCATTGATAGATGTAAACACGTGTCAGTCACGGAAGCGAGAAGCATATCAGTTAGATCGACCTATGTTCCACATCTATGTTGGTAGGCAGAAGTCAAAATCAGATACGGAGGTTATGAGTAAAGAGTACTGGCAGATGACCAATGAGGAATTGTCGTGATCGAAGCCATGAGTGCACTTGCGAGGTTTTGAGCTCTCCATTGTAGGTTCATCCAAGGCAGCCCAGGTAATTTGCTGGAAACGACAATCTGAGTTGCAGCTGTTTAAAAAAGGGATGAACCTCTTGTTTGCCTGCGAATGTCAATGCTGTTCAGACATTCGAACATTCACATTTGTCTGGTCACATTACTTTTGCTACTGTTCGTCCACCATAGTTTCACCATAGTGATTCATGTTCATTCATTCATTCTGGACGTTAGATCTATGCAGTCAGAAACTTTTAGTGAACGCCGAAGTGTTTATATTGTTGATATTATGAGCAATTCTGAAGGAACTGTACAAAAGTAAACATAGGATACCAGAGTTAAGAGTTGTCCTCTGGTGTTGTTTGCGCCTTCATTATTAGTATTCAGGAAGCTCCGTAATCGTTGTAACCATAGAGGATTGATTACCATGGCCAATCCGCTATTCACGTTTGACTTGCATATACTTGCCATGTCTCGTATGGTCGATTCACCAACAAGATGAGTCACGCAACAGAATACAAAGTCTGATTCTTATTGTCCATAAGTGTTTCAGGCGACCTGATTCATCTGCATATACGAACAAATTATCTGACCACAACGCATCATAATTTATGAAGATGAAACAACCAGTTTCATGCACACAATATGAGATAACGTACAATGATGAATCCCACTCAACAGGCAACTGTTTCCAAACTATACAGCATAAATATGATTCAGAAACTTGGCGCCTCAAGGAAACCACTTACAACAGAATACAGACATTCATTAACAGCTGCCGCCTACGCGCGCTCACTCTATACTGAAGATCAGATGAGATGGCCAGAAAGAATAAGCAACAAGGAACTATGGCCCGGCAACGAACCAACCAAGAACCTATCGCCCAACAAATATGCAGAAGAAAGTAGAGATGTATTGGTCATATACTAAAAAGGCCGATTGGGGACATCACGTGCCAGGTCAGGCCCTCGAGTGGAATCGAAAGGGGAAACGACGAGTTGGGCGTCCGAGGTGAGGGTGACATAGAGATGATGTGAGGAAGAAATGAAAGGCTGTTGGCAGATGTGGCGCCTGGCTCAAAAGACTGGAAAGAGAGTGGAATGAAGGCGTGCTACTGAAGCCGTATGTTCCAGTAGGAACCCAAGGGAAAAATAATAATAATATCCATCATAAATAGATGGGTGGGGGCAGGGAGTCAATCGAAACCTCTTGAACCAAGCTATGTAATAATGTTACTAATTAGGTCATAAATGAAACAACTTCCAAAGTAAACAAAATAATACGAGCGATATTTGTTCGTTTCTCATCTCTTTGGATGCACAGAAGGTTGACTGTTGGGTGCAAAATAAAATCTGTGAAATGTCTCCTCTCCACATGACAATAATTATCTTTGCTTAGCTTAACCTTTTTTACGCCCCCGGTTTTATTTTCTTCAGTGGTAATAAACTTTCGTGTTATGGAAACTATATTCTCATATTCTTGCTAATAGTAGTAGTATCCCCATCTTCATGTCACACTGAGATTACTTATCTTTTTTTTCATTATTTACATTTCGTAAACTCTTTCATGTGTAGGATAACTGTGTTAGTTAATTGATAGCAACTGGTAAGAAGCCTTTCTCAACCTAGGCTTCGTGGTTGTTGGTACTTGCCAGTAAGGTGCATCTGCAACCTTGAGGGAACTCATACCACCTCTGAGATTTGAACTCGCGTCACCTAGTGTTACAGTCAATGACATTACTATTTGGGCGGTGATTTACCTCCTTTATGACTGGATCAGGATGTTATTTTTTAGAAATCTTCCTACTTCAGTGACTTGGAATGCATTTTCTCTTATTATGAATGTGATATGTGTATATACGGATGCACGATATATAAGTTAATTTAGCGAATAGAAACCTCCTCGCTGAATTAATCGTTGTACATGTGAAGGACACCACTTTCATACACATGCAACTAATCATCTACAAATGAAGTTTTAATTATTTCCTAACCTGTCCGACCAGGTTCGCCACTCGAAAATGGAAATCCTCTCAGTTACCTTGTGCACATCCGGGCAGTAGGCAATGACCCTCACCTATAGTGTGAAGGATAATGACGCTACCTAGCTGCCTAAACCTCATTAGGTGAAGCGGTGTTAAACCCATGACCCACTCTCACAGAGTCTTAATGCTCACTTGTCCAATTATTAGTCAGAATCTAGTGATCCTTATTTCTCGAACCTGAATAAGTTTCACCTAATCCCAATCAAAATGCTGCACTTAGAAAAAATAACACATCGAAATATGCGATGACTCGGAATGCACTACATACGTCTCAGTTATCTGATTCATTGTAAGTCCATAACCGTAACGGAAGTTTCCCTCTATTTTGTCCGAAACTCAGAATCTAACTAATATCAGCACTGATTATCGCTGCACATAAGATGTTTCGAAAATACAAACGATCATATGCCGACAGATGCTTTGCGTCATAGGGTAAGGGGCTAGGAGGGGCATTGCTGTACAGTATATTCACTCTGTGGTAGGCAGGAGAAAGATAAACAAATTTTACACGTAATCCCGTTATCAGGATAGTAGGTCAGCTTAACCTTTAGTGATCCTTGTCAGTATCTCTAACCAATATGAAATGTAGCTTCTTTCTCTTCCGATATAGTTAAATAAATGCTGAAAGTTAACCAGATAAGAAATAAAACTTCCGTATATTCAAATGATAATAAAAGTCTGTCAACACCAGCGGCTCAGATAATCATCAAATTGATAATTAATCCTCGTCACTAATTCGAGACGATTTGGATTGTAATGAGAAGTCCTGACTGAGCAGCAAGTATGAATAAGATGAACAGGTAGTAATGCAGCGCAAACTCACGAGACATTCGGGTAAAACGATTAGTGAAGTGAAAATAGAATCTGGTCTGCACTTGAGTCTCGTAGCTCGGTTGGTAGGGCAGTAGTCCGGAAACCCGGAGGCTGCTGGTTTGAATCTTGCCGTAACCCAGATTTTCATTCCACCTTCAATCATCACCCAGCATCAATATCAAGTCTGTCAAATCACGGCTATCTCGTATAATCAGACATATATATATATATATATATATATATATATATATATATATATATATATATATATCACTTGTTAAAAGTATTTCGAATAATCAATACCTGCTCAGCAAAGCTTGCACAGGTTCCATAGTTTCTATATCAATCTCAACATCCTCTTGATCATCATTATCTGTAAGGTAAAGATAAGAGGAAGAAAGTTTTAAAAGTTAAATAAATTCCTCATATCTTGTTAAACACTAATCCATACAACGGACAAAAGTGGAGTTGTGCTCCATTGGCTTATGGAGATGACTTTCAACCAAATGATTACGGGTTTGAATCCCACCTCACCCGCCAAGGTTTGGACAACCAGGTAGTAGTATCATTAGCCCCCACACAATAGGGGTGATGGCTCGTTAGCTACTGCACAAATGTGCACAAGGCTACCTGAATGCATTTCAATTTCGAAAGATAAGAAAATAAGAGAAAGTAAACATTTCGTCGTAACAGCATAATCATGAAATTAAATTGCGCTTCACTTCTGCATACAATGAATCCATCTAGACGTCAAGTCTTGTTTATTGATACTTGTAATTCCCCTTTGCTATACTGGGTCGAATTGCCCGACCTCTGTTTGCAGATGCCTTGATACTGCCCGAATATACATTATTTTGTAATTCTCGTGGCCCACTGGCGTAATGAATAATACTTTGGCATTTGAAACGACGGGTACTCCGTTCAAGTCTCTATGGGGATACTATCACTTAATGGGGTGCAAGTGCACCAGGCTGATGAGTCTCAAAAAGGACAAAACGCGGGTTCCAGATCCCAATTCTAGATCCACTAAGTGAACTGAAACAAACGTCAAGTCTTTAACTTCGGTAGTGAATAATGCAACTTCGAATCATCTAGGTAGTGACATCAATTTTCTCATAGTCGTAACTACACAATGCTGATGAATCCCGATAAGCTTAAAAATACTAAGCACGCAAAGCTTCCTGCCAATTGATTTATATAAGATACAAATTAGTGTGCACCCAAGTGTTGTACCACCTAGCTTACAGCCACGATCAGGTTGATTGACAGAGTTCAGATTTGACAGCCATATATCAAATACTGTTTAGTGACAAATAAGGGGCAAAAATTGTGCATAGAGAGGGCTGAGATGGGATACACTTTGAAAAGTGATTGATACAAACACACAGGATTTTAATTTATGAAACACGTTGTACAAACAAATTTAATCAACATAATGAGTAGTATAACCTCGCCTGGTTAACTAGTTCACTAGTTACTAGCAGGTCCTAAACCCGGATAAAGAGGGAAGGTTGGGCATAGGGCTACCAACCCTACCCCCAAAACCAATCCAATCGCTAAACAAACTTCAAAGCACAAACAAAATATAAAAAATAAAAACGAACTTATTCCTCTCTGGAATCGGAGAGACGAAATGATGTCGGTTGTTGAAAGCCTTCGGGAAGCCAATTGGCCGATGTCTCTTCTCTTCTCTCAATGGGAGCAAACGTAAACATGGGGACGTGGAATGTCCGCACAATGTTTGAAGCTAGCTGACAAGGCCGCCCAAATTGCAAAAGAGATGAGAAGGTATGGCGTAGAAGTGTTAGGAATCTGCGAAAGCAGATCGAGTGGAAGTGGACTCTCCAAACTGTCAACTCCAGAGTCAATAATCTACTCCGATATTGCCACCCAGACGACAACCACGAGGACACTGAGTTATGGAGTAGTTATCATGATTTCCCCCTCCCAACAATATCGAAGCTCCTCTTTCGTGCAGTGGGAACCAATCTCCGCCTACACGATCAGGATCATGACATCAAGATGGATTCAACTCAAAAGGAAGCAAAGTCACAATCATACAATGCTACGCTACGCTATGCATCTACAAATAATGCGGGTCAAGGGGAGAAGGAGGAATTCTACAGACAACTGGAATCAGTAATGGACAAGGCTCCAGCCCAGTTGGTGACATCAAAATCCATTCTAGTGGATGGAGTGACATGAATGCCAAACTGGGAGTGGACAACTCAGGAAAAAACCACCCCACAGTTTAGTGCTTCGGTAGTCACTGTACAACATATTAGTACAAAATTATCATACTTTATGATAAGCTAGTTAAAAATATCTTCAAAACGATTATGTTTTTCTACCGATTTAAACACATCTTTTTAAAATAACGGTATAACAATGCGTGAACCAATTACCGGTCATCACTGATTGGTCAATAGAGAGTAACCAATCAACATACACCATTCAATCCTATAACACGATGTCAGGTGCAGACTAAACAGCTCAATGGTAACGTCTCTGACTGTAGAGAGAGGATACCGGTCCTGTTGAGACTGCAAACACACCTTGTTGATGAGTGTCAACAAGCATAAAACGAAACCCAGGGGAACCCAGACTTCGCCCTGACTGCCTCTAAACACTTAGGCACCAACCGCTAGTGTGTACCGTATTGACATCAATATATATTCATCAAATCAACTACTTGACTCGGTTAACCACAGAAGAAAGTTGTACACATAGTGATATGTGATAAACTCACTCTTGTTTTCTTCAATCTGTTTATCTTCATCTTCAACATCGAATTCTGATTCACGTTCTTCATATTCCACATTTTCATCCAGTTCCTTAAAATCTGGAGCAAACGCTGACCAATTTTGCTGAAAATGAAACCAATACACATAGATACAAACAAAAAGGTAGGGAATACAGTTATTCTCAACGACTAAGCTTAGGTCTAAATCTGGAAAATTGTGTACACAATATGATAATGCCAAGTTTTAAGGATAAATAGACCAGGTGTGTACATAAGTTGGTTACTAGTAACCTAAAAAAGGAACGCATTCAGCCACCTTGTGCACGCCCATGCAGTAGGCATAGATCACACATATTGTGTGAGGGCTAGTGATATTACCTGGTTGCCAAAACCTCAGCAGGTGGAGCGGGGTAGGGATTCCTGACCCACTGGTTGATAGCCCCCTCCTTAAATCAATGAGCAACAGCTCCATGTGGTCACTAGTGGGTAATCAATGTAACTATCTAAACCTTCGTGTTTGTAACATTCATCAAAGTCTATCGATCAAGTTTTACAATGTAGTGATTAGGCTAAATAACACAATAATGCGGTGCACTGTATTTCGGTGTCACATAGGCGGAATCAGTCGGTAGGAAACCCATGGACCTCACTTTTGTGGTCGTTGACGCTCATCACAAAAGAATTTTTACTACCATTAAGAAGCAGATGTCGCCTCAGTGATTGGAATCTGTATCGAACTAAGCGCTAGAGTCAAAGGCCTTGCCACTAAGTTATTCAGGCTACGACTGACGTTAGTAGAACTAGATTACATACATCAATTGGAAAACTGACTTACCTATCCAGTCCTCATAGATCAGTATGTCACAGTCCGCCAATCAAGTGGCCACATTCAAAATACACTGAGTGACGCAACAAACGTTTGATGTTGATGAGTGTTAACAAGTATGAAACCGAAGTCCAGAAATATGTATACTTTTATTTGATAAATAGTTTGAACTTAAATCTACAATGATTCAATTATGCTTTGGTTGATTGAATCGATAGTAAACTGTACAGCAGTGATATTAGTTGTATCAACCGCGTTTAAGAGATATAGAAACAGAGATACTTATCATGATAGACTTTTGATTGGAAGATCTCATCTAGTTACATACGCTGACGGTGCTAACAATACTTTATCACGAAGTTGGTTACCACTGAGGTTAGCATCGAATGGAATATGAATATATGACGTTTTAAGTCAATTTGATGCTGGAAATCTCATCTATTTGCAAGATTCATACAAAAAACCAATGATGAACACAGTTCGAGAAAATATAAACCAAACCCAGTTCGGATACCTTAATTATGTTAGGTGCTACATCTTACACAAAAAACACAGTTGAATAAACCGATACAGATCGTTACCTAAAGCCTACCAACTATATCTCACATTTTAGAATGTTTGGTATACGAAGAAAGAGGAAGAAAGTAACAATCTTACAGTTCATTCACTTAGAAATGGTATACAAAAGATAAACCAATGCCGCTTTCTTTTGAATAACTTGAAATTAGCTCCCAAATTATAAGTATTCTCCCTTTAATGAACCAACTTGAGTATCAAACATGGAGTGATAAATTCTTCATGATAAATCGCATAACTTAGAAATACAAATAATTCAACTGAATTTAAGATGACGCAAAATTGATATATGTAAATTTTAAGGGAAATGTTATCCTTTTGCACTTTCATGGCTATTTCATTATTATTATATTTTCTTACAGTAGCACAAGACAAGACGATACAGCTACCAGAATACAACTACCCGGAGGGAAATTACAAAGACCATTTATTATGCAACGGAAAGTGTCAAGTGATACTTTCCAAATTTCGAAATCGAAATCCACTATTAACCGACCATTGCAGTTTGTGGAGTAGGCAATTAGTCACACCTATTGTATGAATGCTCTAATGATACTATCTGGGTGTTGAAACCTCTGTAAGTGGAACTGCTATCGAACGCGCGACCCATCAGTTGAATGTTAAATACTGAGCCACAGCTCCACTTTCCATAAAATCCACTAATCATCAACCATTTATGTTAGGAACCATAAATCTGCATCGAATAAGATGATACGAGTATGCATTGACGTGACGTTCGGAGTAGAAGTAGGTTGGTAGAAACGCGACGACGATTGATGTAAGGTATGGAACCGGTTCACAAAGTTTCTGTTTGTTAGTATGAAATATGTCTTTCTGCTGACTGCAGGTAGAATTGTGACTGATTATGTCAGATACTTGACTATCTACTGATTGATCTCACACTTCAACTTCGACTTCTTCCAACGAATAACCAGTTAGGAGGATTAGTTTTTACACAAATGATCCCCACAGCCTAGTATCTTATCCTAAAGGCAAGTGCTACGTTCTGGTTATTACAAATAAACACATCAGTATATAGACAACATACACACAGAGAGAGACACGAGTAAACTAATCATATCACTGACCACTTGTGTTTGTGCCCATATAGATACTTGTTCTTTAGTCACTGAATTCGAGATTGAAACAATAATTGGTCTGAGGGGATGCCAAACAACGTCTAATAAGGTTTCGCCTTTTTGACCATGTAAAATTTTCACTAATGTTCCACTAGCACGTTCCCATAAATAAATTGAATGCTGTTTCATTGATCCAGCACAAATGTATTCACCATCACCAGAGAAACAGCATTTTCTCCAATGACTCCTGTAATTTATTGTTTAACGGAAGAGAGGGAAAAATATTGTAATAAGCATAAGATCTTTATAGTTTACTTAAAGTACACAAACCCAACAACCCGTTATATCCTATAATGTTAATATACGAATCCCTGACGAATAAGCTTAACCACTGGGTGTTGGAATTATTAGATCCTATTAAGAAGTGAGTCTGTAAGTATTCCTTAGAAGATCCATTTGAAGCAATCAAATACCTTGATGATGTCAACATAAAAAGTAAATTTATGTGTTCATCTGTCGTTAACTCATCATTCACCAATGTCCCTTCAATCAAAACAACTGATATATTATGTGATTACATTTCTGTGCATAATTTCTCAATACCCATTTCTTTAGATCACTTAAAAGAGTTACTACTTTTATGTACAAATAATATTAAATTTACATTCCAGCGTGAACATTTCCTCTAGGTTGGTGGCGTTGTCATGGGAAGTTCCTTGAACTCGCTCTTAGCTGACATATTTATGTCACATGTAGAAAACTTAACCCAGAACCTAATTGATCAAGTCCATCTATCCCGAAGATATGTCAACCACATCCCAATTAATTCAAGTCACTTTACTTCACTTCTACACCGATTGAATGAAATGCAGAGCAGCGTATTTCTAACATGTGTAGAAGAGAACGATGACTGCTTGCCTTTCTTGGATATATGAATTAGTCAGCGCCAGGATGGATACATAAAACGATGTTCACAGAAAGTTTACATGGACAGGGCAATAGTTGAACTATCATAGATTTTGTCTAGTTCAGTACGAGCGAGTGTTAATTAGGTGCTTATTCAGAAGAATATACAAAGACGACACTTTGAAAGACAAAAGAAGAACAATGATTGAAATACTGTTGAAAAACAACTATCCATCAAAATTTATTAGGCAGTACAAAATTACCAGAGCGCCAAAACCAGATCTCCACTTGTCCCAAAGAAAGATGTCTTTATCAGTCTTCAGTACAAAGGTGACTCTCATAGTGAAATCCTTAAGCAGAGACTTAACGCTGCTGTTAGAAGGACTTACTATGCAACTAGGATTCGATTAATAGAAACCACCAACCCCGTATATTCTCCTGAACCCTTACAGCATGTGAAGGATAATGTCACATACCATTGTATTTGCCACTTCATATGTACGTACATAGGGAGGACTCATAGATAAATGCAAGTAAGGGCCTTGGAATATGTTCCAAAGTGGCATTAGAAGTTAGCTGAATCACTTGAACCCATAAACTTTGGTAGCAGACGTCCAAGTTCTCCAATCGCGAAACATATCGTTGAGACAGGTCACAGAATTTACGTTGCTTCTTGCTTTAAATCTATTTACAAAACGTGTTGCGGATGGATCCTTAAATTTATCGAGGTCTTAGCTATTGGGAAGTTTAAACCACCTTTGTGTGTCCAAAAACAATTTTTTATCACATGAAATCTCTCTTAATGAATTCAACTCTGAAACCAAGTTCTATGTACTATTATTTTCGCTTTATTGATTTTCATTGTAATTCAGCCTTCCTACTTGACCTACTTTCATTTTCTCACCTCTTATCTTCATGAATTTTCATATAAATACCTATGTGTGACCAGATAGTTCGAAATGTGTTGCACAAATACATTACACGATTCAGACAATTTACGTCTTCTTATTGTTTCGTTGAAGTCTTTAAAGGGGACTACTTGTTTTAAATAAGATTATTGGTAGGAAATAACAATCAGACTTAAAATAATGAAACCATAAGTGTTGTAATACATAGCTGAAAGAGACTTTGTTCTACTGCTTCCGAACAACTAGTGCCTAAGTATAGTGCACTGAAGAGTAAAATGGCTAGACTGAACTGACGCAATCAAACAAATTGGATCAGCAATTGAACAAAAACACTTGCTAAAATGCATGTACGACCAGCTGACGAGTCCTAAGTAGGATGAAACGCGCGTCCTGAATTCCTCTGCTAGCCATACCCAAGTAAATTATCATATTATAATTATAATGATACTAAGGACAATAGTGATAATAGTAATAATGGTAATGTTAATAAAATAATGAAATTGTACAAACAAAAATGGCAGATTTGTTATAATACAACTACCCAGTGACAAGATCTTTTAATTTTTTAATCGGTTCCGGATCTGCATTGTTTGCATTCAGTGCATCTTCACAATTGTACACACGAATAACTCGATCAGCACAGTTGAGCAAGAAGTATCTGGAATAGTTAATTTATTTTTGTAAACGAAATATAAAAAATACGTAAAACTTAAACTGTGTAGAAGCATGACTTTAAAGGCCATCCTAGCAACTGATGAGACAGCCAATCATACTCCTTTGTCTCATAAAAAAAAAGTCCTTCCCCTGGCGAAATGATGAAATCTGATGGGTTAAATCTGCAGTTGCTAGGGTGGCCTTTAGAGTCGCCCGTGTAAAATACATTTTAGTTACTATTTGGGAAGAAAATGCATATAGGAAGAGACACTACAGGATAAGATATTTTTATGTGATATAACAGCATAAAAAATTAAATCTGAACTAAAACTTATATAAATGTGTTCAGATTCTCGAAAACTATTAATTAGCGACGCGTAATCTAATAACTGGAGGGATGATGAGACACTTGACAACTGATTCAGCTGACACAAAAAGACAAATGTCGGACTGAGGCGAGTTAACTCCCATCGAAGTATGAAGGTACAGCCGAGGTGTATAACTCTTGCGTGCATATACAGTGAACGCGCTCTTGACGTGAACAGTCTAAATAACATTTTAAAAGTGGGAGGCTGACCAATAGGAAAATAGCGTTCTTAAAAGCGGCAGAATTGAGTGATACACTTGGTGAAGGAAAAGGTATGAAGAAGATATTTAAAATTTTCCATAAATAAACTTATAAAACGTTCATTTTGGGGGACGTAGTATACCTAACAACATGGAACAGTGGTAATCAAATCGCACGTATACATCTACATCTCAATGTGTAGAAAAACTTTAGCAACAAGACCACTACAAGTACAGCTCGACAATGAGAGCACTAGGGCCGCTTTCAGTAATAAACTGGCTAGGCAGATATCGGAACAGAACACTATCACTCATCCAGAAACTTGGTGCCATCTCTAGTCTGCTGTAAAAACAGCACTGAAGACCGTAGCCGACTCCGAAAGAGTGGCTAAAAAGAGCCAGTGGATATCAGCAGCTTCTCCCGAACTAGTGGACGCACGCCACCCCCTACCTAAAGGCTTGGAGTACAATGAGGAGCGGATACAACTCAAATGTAGACTGATAAAAAGCCTGCGTAATGATCGTGAACAGTGGTGGGCAGTGAAGGCCAAAGAGATGGAAACAACAGCGGCGACAGGTAACAGAAGATAATTATTTAGACTTATTAAGGAAACCGAGGCGAAAAGGTTAACGGTTAGCGAGACTTTATCGGAGAAGGATGGGTCTGCGGTCCACTCGCATAGGAGACGACTAAAAAGATGAGTGGAACACTTTGAAGAAAAAGTTCAACTGGCCTCCAGCTACTACTGCGTTGCCCACTATCCAGTCGGAGCCTGAATACATTGAGAGAGGTCTCCCAACACTTGCAGAAGTTGAGAAAGCTGCAGGTCACTTGAAATGAGCAAAGGTAGCAGGTCCAGACGGACTAGTTATTGAAGTATATAAGGACAGTGTTAGAGTGATTTTAATTAGGTTAACTGAAGTATTAACTGGTGTATGGAGTCAAATATGATCCCCTCTGAGTGGTTTGAATCACTGATTATTCCAGTCTTCAAGAAAAGCGAGAAGTCATGTTGTGATTCAAGCTGTTGAATTCCTGGTTGGCATAAAATGCCTAACAAGACAACACGTTTTCTTCATCCATACCATGAGCTTTTACTACACTTCTTGTCAAAGGTTGTTGGTGTCCTCAACCTTGTGATTTGGACGTGATTCAAAATGCCTATTTCTCCTCGCCTTTGTGGGGTATTCCATGTAATAATTCCTTAGTGCCTAATCTATTTCCTAGCAACTGGTCAGATTGTCATCAGTATGTGCATCGCATGTTATTGGCATTGACCTTGGAACCACGAACTCATGCGTCTCGATAATGGAGGGTAAATGCGCTCGAGTGCTCGAGGATTCAGAAGGCAATCGAACTACTCCGTCAGTTGTTGCTGTCACTGCATCCGGTGACATCCTTGTGGGTCATCCAGCAAGACGTCAAATTATTAGCAATCCTGAAAACACTTTTTATGCAACAAAACGTCTGATAGGTCGACGATTTACAGATCCTGAAGTACAGAAAGAGATGAAAAACTTCGCCTATCCTATTATCGAAGGAATGAACTCAGAAGTATCCATGAATGTGTATGGTAAGATATACTCTCCATCAGATGTGGCGTCTATTATTTTGAAGCAAATGAAAGAAATTGCCGGTATGTGGTAAATTTGTCTTGGGCCTGTCTAGTTTTACAGAACGCTATTTAGGAAGTGCAGTAACTAAATGTGTTATTACAGTTCCCGCATACTTTAATGACTCTCAAAGACAGGTATTCATGTGTATGCAAGTTTTTTTTATAGGATCTATGAATAGGCAACTAAAGTTGCTGGGGAGATGATTGGTTTAGAGATCCTTCGCATTATTAATGAACCTACTGCTGCAGCCCTCGCTTATGGTTTAAACAAATCTGATGATAAAATGTGAGCCTTTTTTACATGTTACCTAAAAACTTAACGTCAGCATAGCTACCTATGACTTAGGAGGTGGTACCTTCGATGTATCAATCCTTGAGATTGAAAAGGGTGTTTTTGAGGTTAGATCAACAAACGGGGATACGCTCCTTGGTGGCGAAGACTTTGATAACAGAATCCTTGAATTTTTAGTTACACATATCAAGGATAAGGTACTTATGTTTCTGTTAATAAAAAGTATTTAGCTTGGATTCGATGTCACCGAAAATGTTGTTGCAATGCAGCGGTTAAAAGAATCAGCAGAGATCGCTAAGATCGAGCTGTCGGATGCAAGTGAAGTGAGTTCACAATAAGACGATCAATTTTGCTCATTACTGCATCCTTTCCTTGTTATTCGGTCACCATCAATATGGGACCTGGGAATACCGCATAACGGTTCAAGTTGCCACACCTCACACAAGCACATCACTGTGCGAGGCATGAAAACAAAGGGCAGAGAAATAAGAATTAAAGTAATCTAAAGTGGTAGAACGTCTCAAAAGATCAAAAAGGAGTAAAACAAATCGTTATGACGATGGGGACAATGTGTGGATGTATTTGCTCCACTGAGATCAATTCTGAGCCATATCATTTAGTCTCTAACCCCCGATTTCGGTTGTCACACGAACTCCAACCGATAAGTCCACACTCCCCTACATAGCTCAGACAGACAGTCATAGGTTCCTTGAACTAATGCTATGTTTTAATCTAACCTCTAACTTTTTCACAGTCAGAATCCACTTAAGTTGAAATTGTGAAACCGGGCAGATGGTGACTAAGCATACGTAACATATGCCGCAGTCACCTAAGTTGATGAAAGTCCACACCCTCGTCATCTGAAAACCCAGGGATTCACTGGATCACAGGAGAATTATTAGTAGACGTAGTTCTGTCAGATGAAGACTCTGACAAGATACAGAGTCCTCTGGACACATTGAGAATGTTTGGGGCGCGTTTCTCATCACCCAAGTGCAAATTGTTGATTGAGGACTGGTCTTCAACAGTACCCCGATTAACACTGAAGAGTGAAGTGGTTAAACACGATGAATATTTCACTCACCCCGGAAGTTGGATCAGCTGTGGTGGGTCAGTGGCCTACGAAATCTTTGTAGGGATACAAAAGGCTTGCTTGGGTTTTGCCAACTTATGCCATCTGTGGCGCCACCGCGATATCCGATTGCCTATTAAGGATCAAGTGTACTGTGCTACAGTTCACTTTATTCTGCAGTATGGCTGTGAAACATCACCATTAAAGATAGAAGACATGAGAAGGCTTCGGGTGTTTGACCACCTCTGCCTTCGTAGTATAGACCATGTTTCGTGGTGCTATCACGTGAGTATCGTAGAATTCAGGCATAGAGTTTTAGGCAGGAGAGGTAAGACAGTTGATGTGGTTGTGAATTTTCATCGACTGAGATGGTTGGGACGTGCCCAATCGCACAATGTTGGCCGAAGTACGTTCAGTCTGGAAAAAGGCTCGGTCGGGGCGGCCAGACTAAAACATGGGATCAATGCATGAAGTCCTTGGCTATTCGTGTAAGCCAAGTAGGCCGATGAAGACTAGCCAGTTGGGGTCTGTGAGACAAAAGAAACTAGTGGTTGGAGATTCTAGTTGGTATGGCTGTGAACCGATGTCAGTGGCGCAAATGTATACACATTATGTTGATGTTAACCGCTATACTTAATCTTATCATCTTTTCATTCTTCCTTCCACTATTTTACTACTTACTACTTCTACTTCCTTTGACCAATTTTTCTTTCCTTCTTCATCTTCCATTCTATTGCAGTGTTACTTGATTTGCTGATATGAAGTGTAGCAACTTGGACCGTTACGCAGTAATGACTGGTCCTTTGTTAAGCTTGATGATGAATCGAATAGCTTAACTACACAACTTAGGCTTCAAATTACAGTTTATGAGTGCTGTTAGAAAAATCTGTATTTTCACAAGCGATATACAGCTGTGGTTCATTGATGTAGACGCTCGACTTCCAACCATCATTGGGGGTTACAGATTCCAAATAAGCCCCACTAATCAGGGCCTGGATGGTAGACAGGTGAGTATCATTAACCCCTTCAAAACAAGTGCGGTTTGTTGCATACTGCACGAGCCTGCATTTAGAATCTTTTTCGACAACAGATTACCAGTATAGTATAGTACATCACAAAACTTAGTAACATATAAGTATCCCTTTTGCACCTATTTTTCAAACGAAATACGCATTAGTAAACATAATTGCAAGAATTCAGTAAGAAACACTGGTGAACAGAAACCTTATGCAAATGAGGCTGTATGAAAACCAATCATAGATAAGCATGTGGACTAGACTTATACAGTATCCTTATTTATTTTATGAGAGGCTACCTGTCCAAACTTCATCAGGTGGAATGGGGGAGCTTACATTCATATGAATCAGTGATGGAAATCCAAGCGTTTACATGAATGACTTATATCTATATCAAGAAAGAAGAAATACCTAGAATGAAGGCATAGTCAAAAAAAGGGGAAGTAAGCACACAAGATACATTCGCGAAGCTTTCATCACTTTACTCTATGAAGACAAAGAGAATTATAGTACAACCGCTACCGAATTAGATCTTCAGCCACGATTAGTAACACCTCAAGCTAATAAGTTATGTGCTCTCTTAAATCACCTCAAATAGTCGAGATGCAAAAACCCCTTTCCAACGCAGCCGTTTCAAGATGGTCATCTTTCTTAAAGTTCGGGAGGAACCAAGAAAGTAAACAATCATTACTACCAGTTCAAAGTGGCAGAGACACATTTACCTTTTTATACACTTTTTGATGGCTTACGATCTTAAGAAATTTCAAATGACATTTCAGCAAGATTTTAGGTGTCTATCATATAATAAACAAAGTGACTTACAATGGAAACAATGGTACAGTGAAATGGAATGTAGTGTATATATTTGACTATCCACGATTACAGTTTATCCAGATCCCGGCTGGGATCTATGTGACAACCGAAATAGGTGGCTGGAGACTCTAGGTGATACGGCTCAGAACTAATATCAATGGCATACATCATCTTCATCTTAATCGCCATACAGAAATTTAGTCACTGTCTTGTCCATTCTTCCTTTCTCCTAGTGACTTCCACTGAGCTTGATTAGTTCCTATTTATATCTCTATCTTTCACCTCGGCGCCTTTGACCTAGATGTATTGGGGTAAGGTGTGCCGTTATGGACCGTTTCACAGTAGTACGAAGTCGAACGTTTAAAATAACTGGCTGACAGTTTATTCAGTAAGATAGAATAAAGTGATACCTGTTTTAGGAAATTCATTCCACACAGCTTTAGAAAATCTTACGCCATCTCCGGAATGCACATCTTACAAATGCATCTTGTACTCTCAAGAAATTGAAACCATTAGTACAATGTTAAGCAGACTGTTCCTGATAAAGGTTAACGTAGTTTGTAGTTACTGAGTACAAACATTTGTATAGACATCTATAGAATTAAATATTGACATTTGGAAAAAAGTAATCAAACTTACTCTCCACGTCTTGCGAACTCTATAGATTTAATTGCAGCATTTGCTGCTGATGTCGATTTAAATGAACTAATCAAATGAAAATCTTTTGTGTCATATATACAAACCTGTAAAAATAAAATAAGCAGTGAAACAGGAGATGGGCAGTTTAACTACAGATATTATACAGAATTGCATTACGGGACAGAGTAAAATTTCAATACCAAAATTTTACTGGAGACCATTTCGGCATGAGGTCGTAACAAAACAAAAAACTAATTCCAGAGCAGTATTCTTATTTTCTAATAGAGATGTCACCAGTCGGTTCCACAGATGACATCAGTTGGCAAATGCCAAACAGCAGATTTAATCAGTAACCAAACCACTCGACTCAATGCAACTCAAGTGAAGTGGTCAACGCATTATACCACTCCACTCCTTATCATCCAACTGGGAGTAGCTGCATACCATTCCTTAAGCATCATCTTACTTCTGACAGGTGTGAAACGTATGCTACAGTCATATTTCTCATCAATGCGTTCAGAAGATTCCATATTTTGTCACCACCTAACAGAACGATGTCATTTGCACACTCCATGTTAACCAGGTGCACTCCTGGAAGTCAGACCCCTGAGAAATCGAAGACACTCAGGGTCACCTCTATTAGCACATCTTTAACACAGTTGAACATGAACGGTGGAAGTTGTCTGCTTGTATCCACCACTGAGTTGAGGTCGGTGGATATTTTTTACGTCCGAAGTTAGTGTTGACCAGAAATAAATGGTTGCCTGAGTATAGTTGTAGCAGGCGATCATCGTCACCTGTTCTTTCGGCTAGGATTCCGAAATGACCTACCAATTCCCTTTCTTTCTGACTTAACCTACCTACTTGTGTACTGAAACCACCCGCAACCCCTTCTGATCGCTTGCTTTTCAGAAGGCTAAGCAGTTTTCAGTAGAATTCATCCTTAACTTCATTCAAACTGCACTCAGTGGGTGAGTTAGCAGAAATTACAAAGAGACAACGCCGAGGTTTCCTACTCCACTCAGTTCTCAATGCGCCGTCCAGCTGAATAGTGCATAGGTGACTGTCAGCTGGGATCCAGTCGGACAGTGCTCTTTATGCATTAGCACATAATGTTATGTCTACACCTGCAAGATTTAGAAAACTAGTTATCGAATCTACAAAAACTGAAGGAGTGAATTTTGCGGATTCATCACACTGACCGGATGAGGTTAAGTGAATAACCACACCTTGGTTTTGTATACGCGTCTCGCGAACACAGCACACATCCATTGTCCGAGTTGCTAGAGTTTTGGTTAGCGAAGCTTGTTGGTTGATTTGACAGAGAATGCAGACATTGATAGCTCCAATGTGTAATCTCAAGCGTGGTTTCAGGAGATTGGGGATGTTGTTCCGATAACTCACATCGTTGTCGAGATCTGTAGAACTGGAAGAAATCGAAGATAATGTAGGATTGTTGACTGAAAGACGTGAAGGAAGATAAGAAGATAGGGATGTGAAAGTTGGACAATGATCTGAGTGAACTGGAGTAGTGAGGGTTGCTACTCACACCGTGGGAAGTAACTTCTTGAGGTAACTGTAAAATAAGGGTTAATGCGTGACCATAGAGCTCAAGGGGTATCTGTTTGGAACCGGTCACAGATGGCATGTTTGGAAGTTTGGTATTTTGGTCTGTTGCTTTCGAATCCGACTATGAACCTAGGTCACCAGCGTCGGGATGGCGCGGGGTAGTGGAGAGTATGCTATTTCTAGGGCCAACCTTTTCTAACCTTCCTTTCTTATAAGAAAGAGAACATCAGTGTGGTACTGCTGGCCATTAAAAGGAAGCACCTCCTCCATAGCCTGAGCGACACCACGTAGGTCACATATTTACTATTCATCGCTATTTATCGTATAGACTGTCATTAGGTGAAGAAATATTAAGGGCTAGAATGTCTATTTTGTAGGACTGCACACACAAACCATCGAGTGCAAGGCCCTTGTTACGTAACCAATCCGCTACTGAGTCAAAAAGTAACCAGCTTCTCATAAACTATACAATCCAACAATAATTCAATCCTTATCACTGACCGTAGCTGCAACAAGCGACACTAGTCTACTAAATTGGTCGTTTAAAAGTCATTCAGGCATTGGAAACTTTTACTTCACATATATGTCTACTGTGAAATCAGATTTAGAGATAGATAGTGTAACAACTCACGCTGATTTAAGATGGAAATTAGGCGAAAGCAAGTGAACAACATTGAAACTGGTTCATTGGTGAAGGAATTCGGCTATCAACTACCGTAACGATCTTAAACGCACCCCACTTACTTCAACCCAAGTGATCGAGTACTGCTACGGGTACTCATGCATTGCGTAACCAGTAATGTAGAAAATATACCTGCAATATACTGCTGAATCTCGATTGCTGTACCATAGGCCACAAATTACACAGCGGTTTCAAAATATTCTTTTTGAAACTACTTAAAATGTCTAGAAATGCTTGCAGTTAAATGTCCGCATATATGTAAGAGTGTAGTACATAAAACCTGTAGAAATGGAGGTGTTACTCAATGACCTACAGATTCAACTTCTGGCCAATATGCTCTAGGTCGATGTCTAGTTCGACTTACAGAAACACCTTTACCGAGTGGAGCTACACTAATATTATAGAAATTCACCGGAATTCCAACTTCAGATCGTGCTTAGGCCCCTGCGTAGACTGTTCCATCACAAAAAAGTCCTATTAAGAAACCGCTGGTCACCTTAAGTTTAGAATTTCGATATTATGGATCTCCTTTAAACATTTTTTACGCAATTCAGTTACATGACAGTTGAAAAGTAAGTCAATTACGAAGCAATCAAATACGGTTTTAACCACTTACTTTTAGTAGTCATTAGTCTGTTACTGGGTACATGCAAAATAATCCAGTCATGATTATTTAGAGTTAAATATTTTGTACTTAGAACCATTTTATTTTTTACAAAACAATAAGTTTTTATTATTTATTGTCTTATTTGTTTATGTAAAAGGATCGGTGATTGCTAAATCTGATTTTTTTTCCAATGTAGTTATTCAGTCACCATATGTGTTCATACAGCTTCAAGGATAATTGCCTTGAATATTCATGTCTTATGCTTCATTTCACTACCGAATCATCACGATTTATTTTCACGTGGTTCAGTTGTGGATATGACTTTTCATACGATTAGCTATAAAAGACGAAAATCCTAGAAAGTCAAAAATCCTTATAATTTATACTGAGTTAGTGAAGTGAATGCTTATACACTACACTTACTTTGCCTTTCGAGTTTCCAGTATATATGTGACGACCACGACGATCGTAGGATGCAACAATACTGAGGTCATTCTAAAAGGTAAAACGAATGAAACGAATTTCATTTGCATGTATACAGTAACATGAAGCTGTACAACGTATAAACTAGTGATTATATTTATCAGTTGAATGGCCGTGGAGATATGGACTATTGGCTAAGACTGTGAACTTTCAAGTTCGGTCCCGAAATAAAGCTTTGCCCCACTTATTCTGGCCTGGGTAAGTGAGTAGTATCACAAACTCTCAGACAATAAGTGTGGTTCATAGCCTAGTACATAAAACCATGGCAGGATGAGTTGCATTACTTTTAAAATCCCTCAATAACCAGAACAGTAGAATGTAGTGTTATAAAATATTGGATACATAATACAGAATTCAATGCTTAGTGAAGAACTAGAAGAGGAATGAGCCATACCCTTTCTTTTCAGGGTTCATGATACCACTAGGTTGCCAAAACTGAAATACGTAGAACAGGGTTTGAACATCCGACATTAAGTTAAAGTGGAACATTGTAATCGATGAGCCACATCAGTCATGGAAATATATTGTATAACCTCATACTAACGAACTGACGTGTTGAGGATGGATCGATCAGATTTTCACCCTAAGACAGGTTCTGAGAAACAGGTTTACTGATGCCCGATACTTGCCATATTTGTTTACCTAGAGGCAGCATTTGACTTTGTCGATTATGACGTGCTGTGACAGATTCCGAATATGAAATGAGTACAGAGAAGAGATATAAACCCAATCAGAGTTCTCTACTCGAACTCAAATGCCCATGTAAAAGCTTACGGAGAGATTATCTGATTTGACTTGTGGTTTCCACCACGGATGTCCACTGTCACCATTCGTATTTAACTTCCTCATAAATGTACTACTGGGCGTCACCTTAGATATCTCTGACTTCACAGGAACTGATCTACTCCCCGAAGGTCATCTGGTCGACATTGTTCTGCTTGTTAAAGACAATGACAAAACGCAGGGTCTTATAGACGCGTTGAGTAGGAATTTGAGTATCCTGTGCATATCTTACTGGCACCTACCTATCAGATGTAAGATGATGCCCCAGAACTGCTCTGCTGCAAGTATTCCTATTAACCACTTCACTTATTTGGAGAGTTGAATCAGCCTGAACGAACTGATTGCTTACGAAATCTAAGCTCGAATTCAGAAAGCTCGCTTGGCATTTGCCAACTTGCATCATCTCTGGCGTCGGTCGGCGGGATATCTGAATACCAACACAAAGACGAGTATGCTACGCTGCAGTTGGTTGTCTTGTTATACGACTGTGAGACATAACTATTAATAGCAGGAGATATGGAGCGGTTACAGGTTTCTCATCACAAGTATCTTCGCAACATTGCTCGCGTTTAGTGGAATCACTGTGTGAGCAATATTGAAGTCAGGTGAAGAGTACTAGGCAAGCGAATTGATAAGGTTGTGAACCTTAGTCGATTAAGATGCCTTTGATATTGTACTGTGCATGCTGAACCACCGCCTACCTGTACATCCAATCCTAGAGGAAGTTGGCTTAGGTTGGAAGGGGGTCCAGGGTGGTCAGAACAAGATGTGGCACCAGTCAATGAAGTCTCTGATTGTTGGTGCGAGCCATGTGGGGGAGATGTAGACTGTCTGGGTGGCGTTCTCGAGACGATACGAATCAGCGTCTGAGGACTCTTTGTGAAATGGATGAAAATCAGTCACAGTAGTATAGATGTATTTACTTTCCGATGGCTTCTGAAGCTTCAATATTTGCACTTACCATTATCTTCGGATTTTTTATACTCTCACACAACTTTGTCTACTTTGTTATCAGTCTTTTTTTATCCGCTGTTCTTTCTATATTATTGTGAAGTGTGGTAACTTGAGTTGACTTACTTCTGAGTTGGGTTCTCGTTAATTTTGTCTGTCTGGTCTGACTCCCACCCAATGAATCATAAACTCAGACTGCTTCCAGATACCGACACTTGGTTTTATTCGAATCATAGTGTCAGATAATGTTGTGGTTCATTTTTCTTTATGAACGTATAAGCATTTCCTGAGGTATTCCTTAGATACTGCAAAACTATCCACACTAGAATGAACTTTGATGGCCTGAAGGATTCGAAAAACTTATCTGTTGCAACTTTTATGGCAAACGAAGAAAACACCCTTGAACGTATGTCTTCAAAAGACGAAAATATCTACTGAAAACATTTTAAGAAGTCGGGAATCTCACACTAAATACCGTTACCGATTGTCTTTATAAATTATTGCAAAAAGGATTGCTTCCAGTTAAAAACAAAGATTAAAAAATTGCAAAACGATTGATTGTAGATTCCAGTAATTACATTACGCTAAATAAGATGTTTTTGCAGGAACATCGTAAGACAACACAGCCTTGGAGTGAAGTTATAGCCACTTTTCCATATCATCTCAATTTGAGGAAAACATTGCTCGTTCGAGTGGCCTTTAGTGTCAGGAAGATACTGAATAACTCATCATAGTAAATACGATACCAAAAGAACACACAGGCTGAAGTGTTCGGTAATCAGCCACACTTAGGGAGTGCCAACCAACTTTCAGGTTGTTCCAACTTGAACGAGTGTATTGGGATTGCAAATGCATACCACTAGTTGGAAGCTACCTAATATGCCACAGCACTCAAGTCTGGAAAAGTACAGCTTTGGACACTTTCATTCCTTCTTGGTACTTAAGCAAGAATGATGTGGCAGATAAAATGGGCAGAACTGAGTCATTAAAGGTCTTGTGTGCATCACGTTACATAGCCTAGTATGGTTATGATTTCAAAACACCCAAACAACTGGTCAACGTAAATCGAAATGGCACACCACCAAACAGAGTCTACGGTTGAACTCGAACTTTTTACGGTCACTCCTTGAAGTTAGATGCAACTAAAAAAAGTGACAAAGGAACACTGGCTCAAGCTATTACTGTAATAATTAGGTGCTTCATACGGAGTCGTGAGCAACATAAAGACCCTAGTTTGGATATATGATGTGGCAATCATTTTAGTCAGACCATTTCTAATCTACCAAATGATTCAATTTATTCAAAAGTCAAATACACCAAATCAGAAACCGGCATGTATTGGATGTACCTTGATGAAAATAAATGTGGAGTGACTGCAAACACTCTATTACCATGTTCTTTCAAACTGCACACTTCAAAACAAAGCTAACTTTCCATCTTCATACCTATCCCTAGATGTCCTCCTGCGTACTTGCATCAATGAATGCTGTTCGAGCCTTCTAAGTTCATGAACATTTCAACTGTAACCAAACTGATTGAATTACTGACTTCAAAAAAAAAAATCCCCGACCTATACCTCTTTTTAGCGCAGCAACACAGATCACTAATTACAGATATAAGAGTTGGTCTGAACTCCATCTCCTCTATCTATTTAACTAATAACCACAACAATAATTTCATATAACAATAAAAAACCTCAGTGCAACCTAACCTCGTCTTCCGGTTGTATAATTGTTGGAACGCCACTAGGAACACTAATAACTACTGGAGCATGTCGCATCGGACAGACTAGTAATTGTTCTGGCTTCCTCGCATTGAACTGCACTTTCAGCACAGGACAGGGAAACTGGAGGGTTTGCTCGCAAGCGCTAGACAGCACATCCCAAATAGATACTGTATTGTCTGTTGATGCGCTAAGAAGCTTTTGCTATCTCTACTCCAACTAGTTAAATGAATACTGTTGAAGGCAAATAGAATACCTCAAAGAACAAACTGGATGTGCATGAGCTACCAACACTTTTGATATCCGTCTGGTGACGTGGTCCCATATTTCTATTCTTCCATCGTTGCAACCGATAGCTAGAAGGCTTCCAACACGATTAAACTGTAGTGTTATCGCATAAGTGGCACACCCAGCGTCTTTGCTTCCGTCATCCTTTTTTATTCGTTCTAAATACCCATCTGCAGCCTGTACAATCAATATCACTAATGGATTATTACCTCAGGATAGTTTTGATGAAAAGCTTCTGCAACACAATGTGATGTAAGTCAAAGAGAGTTTATATTACCTAGAAGCTCTAAATTCATCAGAGAGTAACGCACTGGGCGAAATGGCGCTAAATTTAGTAACGATGGCTTTTAAAGCGAGTATAGCACCCAATATCAGAAAACAGTAGTGCGGGTAAGAAGACCTTTATTTCTTTAACCATTACGTTTAATTTTCGAGGCCTGATACTTCTGGTTTGGCCATGCTCCTGTGGTTTTTTCAGACATCTCAGTTTACAGTTTGCAGCTTTGGATGTAATGATAGTATCTACAGGTATCGTTCTCATACTGTAGGCGAGTGTGTTTCTGGTGGGCCAACTAGGCTGGTGCTAAGATCAACTAGTCTTTTTCGACTCCTGACTTCACAGACCCCTGTGAGTCAGCATTAGGCGTAATTCGATTAGTAGTGATAGGGTGAATAGAAAATAAGCGAAGAGTGAAGGGCACTTGCAGAAAATCAGTGTTATCGGTAATAATGTGGAAGTCACGCCATTTATAGCGAAGACCCTGAGCTGTTATTGGAGAAGAGCAGGTGATATTACGTTCAGCCGCTTGCGGAATATGTTAGTGGTAAGCCACACGTATTTCCATGCTGATCAAACATTGGTTTGAAAGAGCCGTCTGAATTGACCATGGCTGGTTCTTTCAGTCTAGCGTTCCAGAACTCACTCACATACGTTCCTGTCTGTGGAAACCGTGGTGATCACACATGCTATTTTCCTCCATACTTTGATGTCGTCGACAAACAATAGAATTGTTATGGAAATTTGAGCGGAACGGAGGTCGCTTCTGAGTAATGAAGATAGAAGCGGCCTGTAGCGTCACACACTTCCCCAAAATCAATAGTCAGGCATCCTCACCATTTGGTGCGCTGTCATGTTACGTTGCACTGCTCGTATTCGACTCTCTAGCCAGTTAGTTGGAACGCATCGGTATTTTGGCACAACTATCCAAATATACTATTCCATCCGACTACGCTATCGTGTTCTTCCTTGGTCTCGCATTCGTGGGTATATAAAAAGTCCGAATAATTAGTGATTGGTCTTTGCGTCTGTCAAGTTCGCAGCAGGACAAATCCTAAAGGCCTAAGGGGTCGCTCTCCGAGATACTCGTATTCCTACTCTCCTCAGCCTGGTTGAATTCTTTTTACTATAGTGCAGAATTCACTGTCTTTAAGGCATGCTGCAAACCACGCTATGAGTATTTCCAAGGCGCCCACTTTTGTAGGTTGTGCAATCATGGTGTTCTGGGGACAACATTTGAAGCTCTGGCCAGGTCCAGAAAGACAACGTGGATTGGTTACTTGTCGTTCCGTCTAAGGGTCCAGTCATTCTGAGCAGTCACCAAGTTTGTTGCAAGTGACCGCTTGGTTCTGAAGTCACGTTGTCTGGAAAGAACAACGTTGCTTCTGCTTATTATTATTTATTATTTGTCCCTTGGGCTCCTAATGGAACATAGGGCTTCAGTAGCACGTCTCCAATGCGCTCTGTTCTCTGAAATTTTTTGAATCCCGCTCCACGACAGCCTAGAAGCTCTCATTTCCTCCTCGCACGATCTCCTCCATGTCACCCTAAAAACAGACGCCCAACTCGTCGCTTCCCATCGGGGTTCCACCCGAGACGTTGAAAAAGCCTGGAGCGTGATGTCCCCAGTCGGCTTTCTCAGTGCATGCCCAATCCATCTCCACTTCCTTCAACTGCATATTTGTTGAGCGATAGGTTGTTGAAAAGTTGGTTCGTTAAAAGCCAGAGTTCCTTGTTGCTTATTATAAAAATTCTGGAAAACCATCTGATCTTCAATAACGAAAAAGCGTAGGCAGTTATTGATGAATGTCTGTAGTTTGTTGGAAATCCCTTTCGTAACGCGCCAAGTCTCTGAACCATAAAACAGAAGCACTGACTTGACAAAGTTGGTGTTGAAAATCCGTATCTTGTTCTTTGTGCTGAAAAAAGTGCAGAGGATCTCCACACTGGTTTCAGGCTAATGAACTCCTGTCTTGCTTTTCCGATTCTGACTTTGACATCCTCGTCTGTGAAAAAACCGCCTGTAGTTGAAACGATGCTGTCTAGATAGGTGAAAGAGGCTACTTCCTTTAAGTTTCTCCCGTTGATGGTGATTGGAGCTTGTTGCTGTTGTTGTTGGCTGAGGTATCTTCATCACCTCTGTCTTCTCTATATTCCCTTAAGGTCCCCTCTGCCCTGCCCCTCATGTCAACTTGTTAGTTTTCGTGTGTAGATCTTCAAGTTTGTGCGACATCAGACACAAGAAATCATCGGCGAAATCCAAATCTTCTAGGTTCTTTTCCGTCGTCCAGTGTATCCTTCTCTTCTCGCTGCCTACTGTTTGCTGCATGATCCAGTCCACCACAATCAGGAATGTCATGGGAGATAGTAGGCAACCTTGTTTCACTCCTGTCTTCACTTCAAAGGCATCACTGAGCTTCCCATTGTGGATTACTTGGCATGTGGCATCTTCGTATAGCTGTTGAATGAGGCGGATAAAGGTTTGCGGTACTCCGTAGTATTGAAGCAGTTTCCAAATTACTTCTCGGTCGACGCTGTCAAAGGCCTTCTCAAAGTCGATGAAGTTGAGGTAGAGAGCTGATTGCCATTCTATGCTCTGTTCTATGATGATGCGAAGCGTTGCAATTTGGTCTGCACATGATTTGTACTTCCTGAAGCCAGCCTGTTCCGGTCGTAGTTTTGAATCCAGTGCATTTTTAAGCCTCTCCAGGATGATGCGGCTTAATATTTTGCTTGGGGTGGACAGGAGAGTGATTCCGCACCGGTTCTTGCAAACACTGAGGTCTCCTTTCTTCGGCAGTTTGACAAGGTAATTCTCCTTCCAGTCGCCAGGTAACTTCTCTTCCTTCCACACCTTCTGCAATAGTGGTGTGAGCATGTCCGCTGTTGTCTCTGCATCTGTTCTCAGTGCTTCTGGCGGTATTCCATCTGGTCCTGCTGCTTTCCCGCATTTCAGTAGCTTTATGGCGTTCAGGACTTCCATTTTCGTTGGAGGATTTATGTTCACTTGTAATTCAGCGGCTGTAGGTGGTATTTCTGGACGAAGTGCAAAAAAAAAAGGTGGTGGTCGATTCAAGAGCTTCTTGAAGTGGTCGGCCCATCGTTTCCTTTGTTTCTCTTCTTTCGTAAAAGAATTTCCTTCATCCTCTTTTATTGGTTTCATCTGTGTTGGTCTCTTCCCTGATAGCAACCTGGTTATTTGATACAATGTCGTCAGGTCTCTATCTCTCCTACCTGCAGCCTGTTCTGCTTCACTTGCCAGTGCTTCGTAGAAGTGTCTTTTGTCTTTGCATGCACTCTTCTTTACTTCTTTGTTCAGTGTTTTATACATTGTGCTCAGTTCCTCTTGTCGTTGAGCATCCTTGCACTGGTTTATCTTCTGCTTCACCATCCTCCTCTCCTCTATCAGCTTCCAGGTATCCGTCGAGATCCATTCCTTGTCTTCCACCTTCTTCCTTCCTAATACTAAAAAAAAAGTTTCTTTCCACATCTCTTTCAAAGACTTCCAGTGTTCTTCCACATAGGTTTCTTCAGGAATGTTCCTCGATATCTCCCATTTTGTCTTGATGGCTGCCTTGAAGTTCTCCTTTGTAGTTTCATCCTTCAGTTTCCGAGTGTTGTACTTGAATTGAGGTCTATCACCACCTTCCTTGAAGGCTTTTACCTTGATTTGGAAGGTTCCTTGCACCAGATAGTGGTCTGAACCTACATCTGCTCCTCTTCTTGACCTTGTGTTAAATAGACTGCGTCTCCATTTTCTCGAGATTGGGATAAAGTCGATCTGAATTTTAGTGTGTCCAAAAATCTGGTGAAATCCATGTCGCTTTGTGGATATCTTTGTGCCTGAACACACTGCCTCCAATCACCAAATCGTTGAATGCGCAGAATTATGCAAACAATTCTCCATTCTCGTTCACCTCACCGAGTGCTTCTCGACCCATGGTTAGTTCTCTTCCTGTGTTGTCACCTCCCAGTTTGGCATTCATGTGGCCCATTAGAATTTTGATATCGTCAACTGACGTCTTGTCCAGTGTTGATTGAAGTTGTCTGTAGAATTCCTCCTTTTTCTCTTGCTCTGCATTATTTGTAGGTGCATAGCATTGTATGATTGTGACCTTTCTTCCTTTTGAGTTGAATCTTGCTGTCATGTTCGTGGAGGAGATTGGTTCCCACTGCATGAGAGCCTTCGATGCTCTTGAGGACATCATGATAGCCACTCCCTCAGTGTGCTCGTAGTTGTCGTCTGGGTGACTGGAGTAGATTAATGACTTTCCAGTTGACAGTTTGGAGAGTCCACTTCCATTCCATCTGCTCTCGCAAATCCCAAGCACTTCGATGTTATACCTTCTCATCTCCTTTGCAATCTGGGCTGCCTTACTGGGTTCAAACATCGTACGGACATTCCATGTCCCCACGTTTACTTTCGCTTTCATCGAGAGAAGACACATCAGCCAATTGGCTTCCCGAAGGCTTTCGCCAACTGGCGTCATTTCGCCCCTCCGATTCCAGCGGGGAATAAGTTTGTTTTCATTTTTTATATTTTGTTTGTGCTTTGAAGTTTCTTTAGCGGTTAGATTTGTTTTGCGTGGTAGGGTTGCTAGCCCTATGCCCAACCTTCCCTGTTTACCCGGGCTTAGGACCGGCTAGTAACTAGCGAACTAGTTAACCAGGCGAGGTTGTTGCTTCTGCTTAGGTAGCCCTAATCAATATCTGCAACCAACCTGGAGTAGGCTACGTATAAGGGGTACTAACTGTATTTGTCCCTGGTTGTTTGAGTTTTTCGGGTATCATACCCTGAAGATTGATGAAATAAAAATTATTGGCATTATTATTCCTGGACTTACAGGTGCGTATCACTTTCACGGATGTGGCTATCACATTTAGTGGTTAAAAATCGTCGATAATGTTCTTTGTAATCTCTTCTTCGTCTCGGGAATCGACAATCCCCAAGCTGAGAGGAGGAAGATTTTGCATCACATACAATTAATGCATGCCAAGTTTCACGTTTAATTTTTGTGCTCATTAATGTTTTCTGGCAGAAACAGAAACCGTGAAGGAAGAATATGCGAAAGCATCATGCGAACGAAAGGAAGAGGGAGTTGAACAAGTTTATTCTAAAAGAAGTAATGTTGGCCTGATTCCTCGGGGGGTTTTCGGTTAATAGCGACAAACAATAATAATGACACTCAGGCACAGGTCACATTTACCGGTATGTATAAATCTCCGTGTAAATAACTTGTTTCACAGGGGCAAGCAACCTCAGTCCCTACGCATTCATTCACATGCTGCGAAAATGAGAAATGACAGCAGAATATACATTCACAAGTCGACTAGATGGACAGGTAGAACTGTTGTCTTTGCACTGACCCTAACAGAGATTTGTATTCAATAATTACATGTTTTGCCTGGAGAAAAATAAATCCTGAAGCTATCACTTCCAGTGTCACACCTCCCATATTTTGCTTAGGAATGATCATGAAAAGTTCACTAATGAATATACGCATGTTCTCTGTTATCTACTGTCCTTTATTGATCGCAGGACTAAGTATTTCACGCATTATCGCCCCGACTCACAGCAGATTCAGATTTTTTGCTTGGGGATGGAAGACTGCAAGCCCATATCAACCCTTTTCCAGTGGGTTCCTGTGCCCTCCTTCGAACGGGCCAATTGACGGTGCAGATACCAACTCTTCTGAGATTCAGTTCCAGGAGTTGATTAATTGAAGTGAGAACCAGTACTCCTCTGAGGTGTCCTGATCAAATGAGAAGACTTGTTTGAAGTGGGATTGGCCGATTTCAGAAAGGGGACACTGACACTAAAGCAGTTATATAAATTAAAGTACATTTATCGCCAGTTATACATCAACTGTGGTGAAGCAGTCCCCCTGATCATCTCATCTGATAAATGAACACACCAGTTCGCAGTTCGCTTTAGCATAAGTTCTGCTCTTCAAGCTAAAGGGACTGAGTGTACAGCCTAGTGCACCCGCTGAGGAAATAAGTGGGGACACGCACACATTACCGTGTGTATTTTTGATGTATGCTTTCTTTCTCACCACTGGTGGCACCAAGGTCGCACAAAATGTTAAATTTTCGTTACATGCAGCCGATATGTTTGACTCCTCTTCGTAACGCCCCATTGCGCCAGATAAACGTCTATTTCACCATAAATTCTTATGCTTATAGTCCGGGAGCCTCAGTGTCCGGAAAGTGACGTTTTTTCAGGATAATATGGTTTCATGGCCTACCACTTATATCACCACGGAGTTGCGATCATACGGTTAGACATGTACGGTTGATCGTAAGCATTTCGATTGCAGAAGTTAGCCGTTGGTGTGTATGAGCAGTGACATGCTTGAAGGGGGAGATTTAATGGATTGTATGCCATTGGTTTTTGTGTATGATCTATGGCGTGTACACGGGAAACCGCCTACTGAGTAATTTGGATTTCCACACAGAGATCCAGGGTGAACACCTCCTGCAGCAGAAGTTTCCTGGGGAGTTCAACCGCTATTCATATGCAGAAATGGCTGCATGGTATTATTTTTGTCTTCAGCATGCTCAAGTTACGGGTTCGCCTAAATCGGCCAAGTGAACAGGGTTTCTTGTAGCCTGTCTTGGGGGCCTTCGACATCTTAGCTGCGGCAGAACCTTGAGCCCTATTGTTCTGTTTGTTTAGGGTGTTTCTGTCGCGAGATGTGGATTTCAGGTTTATTGATAGCCGCTTTTGCATACCTGGTGGAGGGCTAGGTTTGTGTGAAGATTTGTCGAAGTAGTTTTATCGCCATTACAAATTCATCACTGAAACTAGCAGGCATCAGCTCAGTGATTTAGGATAAGTTTGGTCAAATATTCAGGGGATTTGGACGATCACTGGCTGCCGAACAGCCGTTTTTAGGTGATGTGGGTCGCGAGCTATCATTCTTTCTTAAGTTCGTCTCTGGTCAATAGTCTTTTCTGATACTATCTTAGCATTCGTAAGTTTGGTAGTCAAAAATCATAGTGTCACAGGGACTGATGAGCTTTTTAACCGTTGTTTGATTCCCGAAAAGGAACATAACTGGGCTGCAGTATTTCTGGGTTTTCTCGGGCACCCGAAACACCTACATGGAATATCTGGCATTTTAACAGCGTTTAAAAGCACTTTCTCAGAGGCATTTGTTGTCATTTTAGCTAGGACATTGTGTACAATTGAGCCCTTGTCGGCTTCTATATGCATTCCGACTTCGGGAGGGACGTAACTGATAACGCACTCTACCATAGCCATGAGATCCAGCTCGGTCTGGCTTTTGTTTCGAGTATCCGCGTGGTTCGTGTTAGACTTGGTAGTCGGCAGCTTTGAAGGTGCTACGTCCTGCATGCGTTGCATTGTATCCTGCATGTTGAATTGCCTCAACCAAGAGGACCTTGGAGAGAAGTTAGTTCTCTTACGGCTGTGGGTTTTGAATTGCTTGTTTGAGTTCGGAGACAGATGAGAGTTCCTTATTGAGGATTTGGAGAGTAGTAAACGAAGAGGCTGACTGTATAGCATTCCGAAGTTACCTGCAGCAACTTGAACTCTGGTAACCGGAAATCGACTTCAGCCTCAACCTGGAAAAGTTAAAAGTTATGCACATCAGTACCTATGAAACAAGGACGGATGGATCCCTGTACAAGTTGAGTAACCATGCTCCCACCAAAGTATCAACGGAAGAAGATTTGGAGCTCAGCTCAGACACCCGGGACAACAGCTCTAACTACAAGGAAATGATAGCCAAAAAAGGGCGTCACCTTGGGCTTTCTGATTAGAGGGCTCGGTGCTGTCACTGCTGGACTATTCCTCACGGTATTCAAGTCCTACGTACTTCTGCACCTGGAAGTCTTGAATACAGCAGCGTCCAGAACACCCAAGAGGGGCCTTTATGTCTTTGAGAAAATAAAGAAATCAGCGACAAAACTAGTTGACAAAGAAGCGTCTAAACCTATCCGCCTGACCTACAAAATCACCCATCAGGCAATTAATGCAAACAAACTGATCATACATGTAACATGGCGGTCATCATTCGGAATCTATATTAGGGTAACATACCAGGGAGCCTAAATCAGGCCCAGGTCCAGCTTTCTTTCTTTAAGGGTATTGGCTTTATGGAATGCCCCGCCAAGGGACGTAACCACAGACCCCTCAGCAGACTACTTCAAAGGACGGTTAAGTCAAGCCACATGGTTTACCACAGACGTCCTCAGGAAACAACCGACCCCACAATCCCCGCACTGCTTCCTCCCTGCTCAACACTCACCATCTCTTGTTGATACACCCATATTATCTAATAACTCTTCTCTAACCGCCAGATATTCACTGTCCACTTTGCTTCTTGGGCACTTGTCACACACCTTCACCAGTTTCTTACTTCTCCTACCAGGGCACCAATGCGGACGGGAGCCGTGAAAGGCCTCTAATCTTCCTAGCTATCCTCGGTTCAACTATCACTATAAATTGCAGTTACTAATCAACAGAAATATTCACCTCACAAGAGCTAAAAGCAAGGAGGCAGAACAGTTTTCCTTGCTGCCTCCGGAAGTAAGCCGAAAAACACGAACTAAGCCCCAATAACTAAATATGAGAGATCAAAACTATCAATTCTCTATGCTCGCCCTATTATTACTTCAAGTTTGTGCAGGCTTTCAGTTAATATTTAACTGTCTCGTTGCAAAAAAGAAATTCAAGCTGTTGAATTCCTGGTTGGCATAAAATGCCTAACAAGACAACACGTTTTCTTCATCCATACCATGAGCTTTTACTACACTTCTTGTCAAAGGTTGTTGGTGTCCTCAACCTTGTGATTTGGACGTGATTCAAAATGCCTATTTCTCCTCGCCTTTGTGGGGTATTCCATGTAATAATTCCTTAGTGCCTAATCTATTTCCTAGCAACTGGTCAGATTGTCATCAGTATGTGCATCGCATGTTATTGGCATTGACCTTGGAACCACGAACTCATGCGTCTCGATAATGGAGGGTAAATGCGCTCGAGTGCTCGAGGATTCAGAAGGCAATCGAACTACTCCGTCAGTTGTTGCTGTCACTGCATCCGGTGACATCCTTGTGGGTCATCCAGCAAGACGTCAAATTATTAGCAATCCTGAAAACACTTTTTATGCAACAAAACGTCTGATAGGTCGACGATTTACAGATCCTGAAGTACAGAAAGAGATGAAAAACTTCGCCTATCCTATTATCGAAGGAATGAACTCAGAAGTATCCATGAATGTGTATGGTAAGATATACTCTCCATCAGATGTGGCGTCTATTATTTTGAAGCAAATGAAAGAAATTGCCGGTATGTGGTAAATTTGTCTTGGGCCTGTCTAGTTTTACAGAACGCTATTTAGGAAGTGCAGTAACTAAATGTGTTATTACAGTTCCCGCATACTTTAATGACTCTCAAAGACAGGTATTCATGTGTATGCAAGTTTTTTTTATAGGATCTATGAATAGGCAACTAAAGTTGCTGGGGAGATGATTGGTTTAGAGATCCTTCGCATTATTAATGAACCTACTGCTGCAGCCCTCGCTTATGGTTTAAACAAATCTGATGATAAAATGTGAGCCTTTTTTACATGTTACCTAAAAACTTAACGTCAGCATAGCTACCTATGACTTAGGAGGTGGTACCTTCGATGTATCAATCCTTGAGATTGAAAAGGGTGTTTTTGAGGTTAGATCAACAAACGGGGATACGCTCCTTGGTGGCGAAGACTTTGATAACAGAATCCTTGAATTTTTAGTTACACATATCAAGGATAAGGTACTTATGTTTCTGTTAATAAAAAGTATTTAGCTTGGATTCGATGTCACCGAAAATGTTGTTGCAATGCAGCGGTTAAAAGAATCAGCAGAGATCGCTAAGATCGAGCTGTCGGATGCAAGTGAAGTGAGTTCACAATAAGACGATCAATTTTGCTCATTACTGCATCCTTTCCTTGTTATTCGGTCACCATCAATATGGGACCTGGGAATACCGCATAACGGTTCAAGTTGCCACACCTCACACAAGCACATCACTGTGCGAGGCATGAAAACAAAGGGCAGAGAAATAAGAATTAAAGTAATCTAAAGTGGTAGAACGTCTCAAAAGATCAAAAAGGAGTAAAACAAATCGTTATGACGATGGGGACAATGTGTGGATGTATTTGCTCCACTGAGATCAATTCTGAGCCATATCATTTAGTCTCTAACCCCCGATTTCGGTTGTCACACGAACTCCAACCGATAAGTCCACACTCCCCTACATAGCTCAGACAGACAGTCATAGGTTCCTTGAACTAATGCTATGTTTTAATCTAACCTCTAACTTTTTCACAGTCAGAATCCACTTAAGTTGAAATTGTGAAACCGGGCAGATGGTGACTAAGCATACGTAACATATGCCGCAGTCACCTAAGTTGATGAAAGTCCACACCCTCGTCATCTGAAAACCCAGGGATTCACTGGATCACAGGAGAATTATTAGTAGACGTAGTTCTGTCAGATGAAGACTCTGACAAGATACAGAGTCCTCTGGACACATTGAGAATGTTTGGGGCGCGTTTCTCATCACCCAAGTGCAAATTGTTGATTGAGGACTGGTCTTCAACAGTACCCCGATTAACACTGAAGAGTGAAGTGGTTAAACACGATGAATATTTCACTCACCCCGGAAGTTGGATCAGCTGTGGTGGGTCAGTGGCCTACGAAATCTTTGTAGGGATACAAAAGGCTTGCTTGGGTTTTGCCAACTTATGCCATCTGTGGCGCCACCGCGATATCCGATTGCCTATTAAGGATCAAGTGTACTGTGCTACAGTTCACTTTATTCTGCAGTATGGCTGTGAAACATCACCATTAAAGATAGAAGACATGAGAAGGCTTCGGGTGTTTGACCACCTCTGCCTTCGTAGTATAGACCATGTTTCGTGGTGCTATCACGTGAGTATCGTAGAATTCAGGCATAGAGTTTTAGGCAGGAGAGGTAAGACAGTTGATGTGGTTGTGAATTTTCATCGACTGAGATGGTTGGGACGTGCCCAATCGCACAATGTTGGCCGAAGTACGTTCAGTCTGGAAAAAGGCTCGGTCGGGGCGGCCAGACTAAAACATGGGATCAATGCATGAAGTCCTTGGCTATTCGTGTAAGCCAAGTAGGCCGATGAAGACTAGCCAGTTGGGGTCTGTGAGACAAAAGAAACTAGTGGTTGGAGATTCTAGTTGGTATGGCTGTGAACCGATGTCAGTGGCGCAAATGTATACACATTATGTTGATGTTAACCGCTATACTTAATCTTATCATCTTTTCATTCTTCCTTCCACTATTTTACTACTTACTACTTCTACTTCCTTTGACCAATTTTTCTTTCCTTCTTCATCTTCCATTCTATTGCAGTGTTACTTGATTTGCTGATATGAGGTGTAGCAACTTGGACCGTTACGCAGTAATGACTGGTCCTTTGTTGATCTTGATGATGATGGTAACCTTTACCTTTAATGGTCATGTTTCACAACCATGTAGTAAAAAAGAATTGCAATAGAGTGCACTCTTAATTAATAATCGGATTTCACATTGGCTCCATAAATGGCATAGATTTGCAATAACGAACCGTATCTTTTGCATTCAACGAGATCTTTTGTCGGTCACCATTCCACCATAGCTGATTCAACTTTTAATTGAAGAGGTCAATGCGCTCAACCATTTTCCTCCCTATTTTTAGGCAAGAAGCCACTGAGCACCAGTCCTGGGTTAACAATCTGCATTTCTGTGGCGACAAACATCCAAAACATTCCCAATTTACTCTTTAAGGTGTCCAGAGGACTGCATCTTGTTAGCGTCTTCATCTAGCAGGACTGTATCGTCTGCATACTTTAAGGAGTTGAGGAAGGCCTCCATAAATATGTCTGTGATCGGGTTAAAATAGGAGTGGATATCACTGACAGACACCACTCAACATACGCAAACCACCTGAAGGCTCACCACAGGCTCTAACAGATGTCTCCACACAGCGCCTTCAACAGGGCTATGCACGCACCCATCACCTATTACAGTGAGAGACTACCATAGGACCTGTCAACCAAAGGAGTTGAATGGCTCCTTCAGATCGAGGAATACTGCTAGCATCTACCGTCGGTTAGTGTATCTGTTTCAGAATCTGGCGCACAGTAAATAGCTGATCGATTTGCCTACTAGTGAGTTTAAAGCCTGGGTTGTTTTTCCAGGGCTTGCTGTTCCTGAGTCCTCACAATGACCGCGAGCAGTGATGGGTGGCGAGAGCGAGAGAAATGGAGAAGACATCATCCTTAAGTGATACCTTGCAACTATTTAGGTTTGTTGGGGATAGCAGGAAGACAAAAGATTGATGGTAAAGCTATTATCAAAAAGTGTGAGACGCTGATAACCTGTTAGGACAAAAGGCTAGAACATTAATTGGAACATTTTAAAGCCTGGTTCAACTGACCCAAAGGAACGCTTCAGTTGCCCGGTATCCGGGCAACCAGAGACTCTATGAGACATAGACGGACGAATACAACACAGATATCAGTCCTTCAACCAGTTCTAATTGAAGTTGAGAGGGTTTTTTTGAATGGGAAACGATACAAAACATCAGGACCTGGCTGTTTACCACCTGCATTTTCTAAGGATGGAGGTATGAAGCTACTGAGTGTAGGTTCTAAGTAGTGTATGCGAATCGGAATTAGTTTCATCAGACTGATCTATTTCACTGGTAATTCCAGTCTTTCAGAAGGAAGAGAAGTCTTGTGGCAACCTTAAGGGAATCAGCTTGACTAATGTCATTTTGAAGATCCTTGGGCCCATAGGTGTCCGATTTCTAAATGGAGTTCAAGAACAGCAAATTCGAGAACACCAGGCAGGTTTCACACCTGAATGAGGGTTCATCAACCAGATTTTCACCCTCCAACAGGTCTTGGAGCACAGGCATACCTACCGACCAGTGACCGACACTCGCCATAAATCTTGAAGTGAAGACGGCATTTGACTGTCGACCGTGATGTGTTGTGGCGGTATTTAACGGTGAAAGGGATACCGAGCAAGAATATAACACTAATCAAAGCTCTCTACTCGAACTCATGCATGTGTGTGAGGAGAGTTGTCATCTGATGATCACTAGTCGTGTCCGCTAGGGGATACCAGCTGTCACCGTTGCCATCTTCGTTACGAATGTACTAATTGACAACCTTTGGTACCTCTGATGTCATAGGGACTGATCTACTCCTTAATTGGAGTGTAGCTGACTAGGAGTATCCGGACGATATTGTCCTGCTATGTGAAGACGCCTACAAATTGCAGGGTTCTTTCGAATGCATTAAGCGGAAATCTGAGTATGTTCAGCATGTATTTTGGACCTGTCAAATGTAAGATGATGTTTTAGGACTGGTTTGCAATTATTTTCCAGTTTAATGGTCGGGAGTGAAGTGGTATAGTGCGTTGACCATTTCACTTGGGGAGGGTTTATCAATCCGAAATGCTGATTTTGGCGAAATCTCGACTCCGTCGGGGGGCTTGTTGGTCTTCAGCAACTGAGGTGGTTTGCACATTTGTTGTACATGCTGAATCACTGCTTACCCGTGACGAGCAATGCTAGGTGAAGTTAGATTAGGTTAAAAGGGGGTTCAGGGTAGCCAAACCAAGACGTGTAACCAGCCGATAAAGTTCCCGACTATTAGTCTGAGCTGTGTAGGGAGATGTATGCCACTTGGCTGGGGTTTCCGAGACAGTAGGAATCAGTTGTTGATGAGTGTTACTGATATGGCTGAAAACTGGTCACAATGGCGCAGATGTGTTCACTCCTAGACATCTACAGCTTGAATATTTTCACTAACCTTCATTTTCGGATATTTCCTCCTCCCGTACACCTTCATCTATCAGTTTATCAGTCTTTTTTCTCCTTTTATTCTCTGTATGCTACTTTGAAGTTTGGCAACTTGGACCGATTCACTTGTGTGGCAGGGTCTGTGTTGATTTTGTCTATCTATCTTATTGTTTAACATGTCATTAATCTTTTACAGTAATGAAATACAGGCGTTTTCGACGATGATATGTACAAACTTGATTCTTGAGTAGAAAGTTGCACTTCACTCTGTCAACTGTTAGGCGTGTTGGTATTGTGGGTCGTCCATCTAGGGAGTTGATTTCAGTCGACTTTTGACCAGTGGGTCATGGGTTCGAGCACCGCTCCACCTACCGAGGTTTGGGGAGCCAGGTAATATCATTAGCCCTCACACAACAGATGGGGCTCGCTGCCTACTCCACGAATGTGCTTAAGGTTTCTGAGTGGATTTTGGTTTTTGTTCTAGGCGTTTTAGCTGTAACTGAGTATAAAGAGTGCTGAAAGAGCATGTTATTTTTATTGAAATCCTCTACGCAAACTGACATGTTAGAACTGATTAAGAGTTTTCATATGAGGTTATGACAACCGGTGGTGGTCACTAGGGTTATCCACTGCCACTATTCGCATTTAACCATGTTATAGTCGTGACGCTTTTTACCTATAATCTCACAAGGATTGACTTGCTTCCTGGAGAGTATCTTTGTAACACATTGTAAACAGACAACACAGTCATTCTAGGTTGAGGTGCTGTGATGGTACTAGGTCCTTTAAAAATCATCAACAAAAGTTTCGACATATTTTACATGCATAACTCACCTTTCATATGCTAAATGATACTGTAGAGCTAATCTGCACAGACTCCTAGTTAAAGAGTAGGAAGTGAAGTTGTGGAATGCACCAACCACTCTCTTTATTTAAGGAGTTACATCAAATCCAATAGGCTTGTTGCTGAAAGATCTAAGCTCGGATTCAAAGGGTTCATCTGCCACTTACCAACTTATACCATTTATCGTGCTGGTGTGACTTCCGATCCCAAATGAAAGACGAGTGTATTGCTCAACATTTCTCTGTATCCTCCTCCGCAGTTATGTAACATTGCCACTGAAGGTGAATGACATTGGGGGGTAGTGAGGGTTTTGGTCGTATGCGTTTATTCTGAACCGCTTGCATGTGATAGGACCGCGTAGCAAGCGATTTTGAGGTTAGATGTAAGGTATAAGATAATGAAGGCAATTCATTTGGTGAAAATTTTTACTGCAGTGGTTTAAATATGTGTTTTGCATACCGAACTACTGTCTTTTTCGACGCAAGATTTCAGGAATAACGATCCTGAATCGAGCCAGATATACACACTTAAGTATTTTAAGTCTTTTAAACGTCTCTTAGTACTTTATATTTGTATTTCTTTCCCTAACGTCTCTTTATTTTATTATTACATTTCTTTTCAACCATTCCTTATGGGCTGTTGTGAAGTTATACAGCTTGAATCGATGCATGTGCACGTTGATTTTGTCCGTCTGAGTGATAAGGCTATGTGGAGCTACTCAATTTTAACACAAATGGCATTGACAACCCGTAAAGACTTTGTTATTTACCTCAACATCCGTTCTTTGTGTCTTAGGGCTTCCTATAACTTTTGATTATTTTTCTTCCACTTTATTGCTTTTCCTCATTTCTTATTCATTCACTGGTTTAAAGACTATGATCCATCCTGAAGGTTTTCAGATATGTTAGTTGGAATGCTTGAGAAATTATTTCATCAGTACATTGCTTTTTATTGCAAGAAGTTAACTCCACTTTGAAGTCATTGTAGATGTTAAACTTTTTCATTTTCATTCTCTTATACGTGTAATATACTTTTCTTTGCTAATCCCCTAGGTAGTAGTAAGTTTACCAAATCTCTATCAGGACTCTTGTGGACCAAATCATTTATCCATAAAACTCACGCGTACCCAAATTGAAACTCTGGTTGAAGACTTAATTCAGCGAACAGTGCTACCTTGCCAGAAAGCCCTTCTAGATGCTAATTTAAAACCCCATCAAGTAGATGAAGTTATACTGGTTGGTGGTATGACACGTATGCCAAAAGTGAGTACAAATCCTTTATTACTTGGTTACTAATAAATATTTGAATTTCTGCGTAGTTTATTTTGAAGTCACAGATTTTGAATAAGTTATGTAGATCACTGCAAAGGAAACTAAAATGATGAATATAATAACATTGTTGATGGTCAAGAACTAAACAGTATGAAACAAAGGGCGTGTAATAATAAGATGCCTAGGTTTCAGGGGAAGGTAGTGATTTTGCATGTTTGTATCATTGTGACCAATATTCAGCCATAATGCATACTCTTGTCTTACAGGGTGACTCAAGTTCTTACAATTACCCTAACAGTATTACTCATGAAAAATGGTTACAGCGGTTCGTAGTGTATGTGTTCCTTTGTGAGATTTTTGACAGTGGAAGTTTAAAATCTGAATCAAGCTGACTGATCAAGAATCAAGTCGAATCGGAATCTACTTAGTAATTTTATGCACATTCGCGCTGTAGGCATTGAAGCACATCTATTGTATGAGGGCTAATGATACTACTACCTGATCGCCTAAACCTTGGTAGATGGAGTGGTTTTCGAACCCGTGACGCACTGGTTTAAAGTCAAGTGCCTGGATCGATGAGGCACAATTTCAGACACATACAAACATCCGATTCGTTGTATTTAGAGCGTTATCAATTGATATTCAGGTGCAAGCAATTCAGATACAAGACTAAACCAATATTAATTCACCCGGTGGGTATGTGTAAACAAGTTTAACGAACAACCGAGATGTATGAGCTTTACTAGATGGTGAATGTGTATCAGTAACTACATGTACCACAAGGATGAGCCATACGGTATGGTTACTTGACCATCTACCTTTAGGTAAACCGGTCTACTGAAAATAAGAAGGTCAACAACCAATGCTGAATATTTATTGAGGTGACATCAGTTGACTTCTGGAAGTTTGTTTGCCGTAAGCATCCTACATCACAAACTTCAGTGTTCTGAGAGTTGTTTACAGACGCCATACCATCAGTTTTTTTTAATCGTATTTTATCCATAAAAGATAGTTGTATATGTAGAAAGCTATCTAATAGTCATGTGATCCTTTCACACAACAATTATCTACAAAATATATTCACCTCACAGTCGTTGTCTAGAGCTAAAGAATTATAAAGTTATATTAAGAGGGCACTCTGTTTTATCCTTGCCCACTTTTTTTCTCCGGCAGTCTGCTCCAACTTTCCTCTTCAGTGTTTTGTGGTATTACGTGGCACCCTTCATAAAGATTTCTGTTGTGGAAAAATTATAAATTGCTAGCATTCTAATGAGATAGTCGTGAAACCGGTACATACTAGTGGCAAATATGCTTCATTGGGCGATATCAAGTTACAAGATAACCACTTTGATTTTCTGCCCATTTTCTATAATCAGTAAACGAGCTAAGTGCCTTAAGATCTGCTTTTAGATATCCCAAGCTTCTTCAAGTCACTTGTCTGTATCATTCACTGACGTCGTCTATCATATAGCGTATAAAAACCTGAACCTAACATATTTGGTTCTAATGGTTCACCAGAAAAATGTTCCCATTGATAGCAGTGATGAATAGTAACTAGCAGTCGAATCCAGGATGTGACCGACTTACGGCGGTATAACCAACAGTCTCCGGCAATTGATTAATATAATCTTGAGACCCCATGCAGATAGCCTTCATTTCCCCATACACCTCAGGCCAGCAGTTATAAACTTCATGGAACGATACCACGTTTCGGTCTCGTCACTCCTAGCCTTTCTGCAGCCCAATTAAGGTAGGTGGTGGCTTGGCCTACACAACGGATGTCCACACCATCGTCTGACTTGCCTTCTTTGTCTAGTACGCTCCACCTAACTTCGACATTTCTCACACTGTGATTCCACCATATGTAAGCTATGCGGCGAAGACAGTTTTCACTAAAAACCTGTAATCTCTCCATATCTGCTACTCTCAAAGACCATGTCTCACAGCCGTACAATCGGACAGAACGGACTGCAGCTCAGTATACTTGTCGTTAAACAGGGTCGGGTATCTTGCTGATACCAGAGTTGGTGTGACTCAGGAAATGCCAAATAGATCTTTTGTATCGGAGTTGAGATGTTGTCAGCAATTAGCCCGTAATCCAAGTTGTCGGCTCATTCTACCACCCTGTTTGAACAGCTAAAAAAAGATATATCGATCAACATATCACACAGTCTTTTCTTTCCTGAAATAGGTTCAAGAAGTTGTGCAGAAGATATTTGGACGAGTTCCTAACACAACTGTTAATCCAGATGAAGCAGTTGCTATTGGTGCTGCCATACAGGTATGTGTATTTATATGGAATAGTATGTTAAAATTCTTGTCAGTATCTTCCCGCCATTCACCCTACCTATTCTCAGGTATTTTCTAAATTAGCATAGCAATTAATGACTTAATAGTTTGTGTTTTGTAACTTCGTGATTATTAACATCAAATTGCTGGTCGTTCAGATTGCTTACTGATTATATTGTATGCTTATTTTCAATCAGTTGAAGACTCAATATTATTCGTATCCCTTGAAAGTGAGAAAAGTTAGGTGACTAAGCAAAAATGTCAGTTGTATATTGTAAATCTCAGCGGGTTGAATTCACCAATACTTCAAGTCACCAGTATATTGTGACTACTTTTGTTTTTAAGATTTACATTATTTTACTCACGAGATAATAAGAATCAATGGTTGGAGAACCTTGATGACAATTGGTGCACACTTATGCACTCTTTGACGTCTTCAGATGTTCGAAGATTTTAACCAACCTTCATCTTTTTTACCCTTCTCTCTTCCTGTACACTTTTTGCCTACTTTAGTATTACTTGTTTTCTATCCACTCTTCGCTTTGTATACTGGTGTGAAGTGTGATAACTTGAACCGTTGCACTTGTGTGCAAGGTTCTACTCTGAATTTGTCTGTGTCTCATTGATTGCTTTGAGAAGGTAATTGATTTGAGCGATAACATACTTTTTTCATCGGGTTTACTCTTCGAATATAAACTTATTATACACTAAAGCATACGAATGATGTCGATACATAAACATAGAAATCGGACCACAATCCACTCAGCAACCTTGTGAGTAGTCATGAAGTAGGCAGTGAGCCACACCTATTGTGTGTGATGGCTAGTGATATCTCGAGGCTGCCGAAACATCGTTAGGTGTAGCTGAATTCAAACCCATGACCCATCGGTTGGAAACCAGGTACCTAGACCAATGAGCCACAAATTCACAATAAGTAAACAATTGATGCTAATGCAATAACTCACGGTTGTCATTCATGTTACGTAATGGGGTATTTACGAGTGAAATAAACTAGAGTGAGGTTTATTGAAACATGTGAGTAGGTGGTTAGACAACAAGTGTAAATTCAAAATGAATAACTTTGCATAGTGTAATAAGAAGATGGAGTTTAACGAATATATGGGGTGTATTTACACTATCCATTTTGAACAGTCATCATACATTTACTTGTCAAGGCATTTTTCTATGAAAAGTCGGAAAGAGTGGATAAGGTAAATGAATTAAGATAACACATTTTTACACCTCTCTTGTTCCATTTTTATTGATTTATTAGATTTATCACAGAGTGTAACAGTAATGTTTACTGGACTACGTTTCGGACATAATTTATTGTCCATAGTTATATCAAGATAACTACACAACTTTGAGATATCTTTTATATAGTCCTAATTTCCTCGTCTCTTTGTGAGACAGGAATGACTCAGCACCTGTTCCGGATATATGGAAAATCTTACTACCCATCTCACAAAGAGGCGAGGAAATTAGGACTATATAAAAGATATCTCAAAGTTGTGTAGTTATCTTGATATAACTATGGACAATAAATTATGTCCGAAACGTAATCCGGTAAACATTACTGTTACACTCTATGATAAATTAATAAAAATGGAATTATATTCTACCATAGTGCACAAGTTTTACTCTTAAACACACCTCTCTTGGTTTTAAAATAAGATAAAGCTTACCAAAGAAGACTTAAGGTAAGAACAAATAGTTTTCGAATGAATTGCGCGAAAACATCACATTTCTTAGGGAAATTTCATTTTCTTATTACACTATGCAAATTCATCAAAGGCACTAATTGTTTCAAATTCCTGAAAGAGATAACTTTCGAGGGATCAAAAAATCACGCAAAAGAGATACTAAAAAGAAATAAATAAGACAGAATATAGGGCGACTAGTTATCTTATCTTGACAAATTTATATAGTGTTATTGATGGAATCAGCTTGTGAGCAATGTTGAGCTCAGGTGAAGGGTACTAGGTAAGACAGGCAGGTCGATTGATGAGGTGTGAACCTTAGTCGACTGAAATTCCTTGAACATGTGCTGCGCATGCCAATCCACCGCCTACCTTTATGTGCCATAACTAGGGGAAGTTGGATTAGATTTAAAGAGGGCTCGGGGTGTCCAGACTAAGACATGTCACCAGTCGATGAATTCCTTGACTGTTGGTTTGACCGGTGTAACCAGAAGTAGACTACCGAACGGCGGTTCTGGAGACGACAGAAATCGGTAGTTGAAGACTCATGGTGAAATGGCTGAAAATCAATCAGTGGTGCAGATATGCTCACTGTTTAACGTCTTCCGAAGCTTGAATGTTTTCACTAACCTTTATCTTGACATTGTTTGTTCTTTCACATAAGTTTGTCTACTTTGACATCAGTCTTTTTCTATCCACCCGTTCTTTTTATACTACTATGAAGTGTGACAATTTAAACCGATACACTCATGTGCGCGGTTCTACATTGATTTTGTCTATCTATCATTTTGGAAAATCTGATCATATATGACTTTTCTGACTATCTGGGATAGCTGTGGTTTGGCAGACTAGTATTTATACTGGATGATGATTGAAGGTGAGTTGGAAATCTGGACTGTGGCCGGATTCTAACCAGCGACCGTCGGGTTCCCGGTCCAGTGCTCTACCAACTAAGCTACTACATCAGACTGCCAACACATGCAGTGCAATGAGTGAAAGTTTACTGTATTTCTAGAGATTTATCATTCTTTGCAAACAGGATGTAATCGTCTTATCAAATCATCTGATAAGACTATCTCAAATGAATGTTTCCATTCGTTTGTATGTCATCTGTTATGAAGTTGTACAACTTGACAACGAAAATTTAATGATTCCATAACTCAGGCTGCATAATTCTCTTTCAAGGCATTATCTAAATAAATTCTCTGGGTTTTCATTTGTTTCTCATTGGGTTAGCTACGGATGGAGACCTTCGTAAGGTTGTTTTTGATTTCTGTAAGACACCTACGGAGATTCGTGATGCAGAAAGACAGACGAACAAAATCAATTTAGAACCTCGCACACAAGCGCACCGGTTAAGTTGTCACGCTGTAAAGTAGCATACAAACAACAACTGAATAGAAAAGGAGTGTGACAGAATAAATAATATGAAGATAAAGGCCAGTGTAAATGTTTAAGGTTTAAAAGGCGTCAAGCAGTTAACACATGTGATCCATAGGAATCGGTATTCAACTGTGTCACCATGACTCCTGAACCACCGATTCCTATCGTCTGGAATAAGCCCAGTCAGGTAGTCTACATCTCGCTACACGGTTGAGATCAACAGTAACCACTTCGACCGACACCACTTCGTGATGTATTTTTCCATATTACTGAGTTAATGGAAGGATTAACCTGTCTGCACGAATTCGCTATCGTTCATTAAGATACTAAAGCAGAAAATAAATTAGTTGGTGCTGATATGGATGTTAAATTGACTGATTTTGGCTTAACCCATGTGCTTGCTGAATGTCTAGGTACCAGATGTTGGGGGTAATATCATCTCTTCTAGTCACCATATACCTTTTAAGATTTCCGCTTATCATTTTGGCACAACTTGAGTTTGGCACGCAGTGGATTAGTATAGTTTAGGAGTATTATTTCATTATCTTCTCTATCCTGGGAAATATCCACCTATGCTCATTGTAAGGATTTGCTGGCATGGAAACGTCTACTACCTTAGATGTCGCCTTTAATGCTGTGAGCTCGTACACACCGTGATTTCTCAAAATCCTACCTACAGATCTAAAGTTCGAAGGACTTAAGGTTTTCGGACATTTTGGTTGTATAGATTGTCTCCTATATCCAGCAAATTTGGAACCAGAGGTTGACTGTCTGGTACGCAATATCAATGATATGTCGATCGATTGCCTCATCTATATTTTTAATCATAATCCTAAGGGATCACTTGTAACCGATGTAAATCCTGTAGATAATAAACTCTCATATAGGGCTTATAGACGTCTCTTAAGGAATGCAACATATTGCACTATACACATTCCTCACTGGATTCATGACACCTGAGTCGCTATTAGAAACGCAGACAGCTAATACCTCTTTTCATGGGACTCTAGATGATTAAATTGTTATTTTCCTCTTTCTGTTATTGCTGTTTAGGGTGCAATTTTGTGTGGTGCTATCTCTGACGTCTTACTTCTAGATGTAACTCCATTATCCCTGGGAATTGAGACTTTAGGTGGTACCATGGCAAAAATGATCGATCGTAATACAACTATTCCTTCTAAAGTTACTCAGATCTTTACAACTGCTGTTGACAATCAAACTCAAGTTGAATTTCGTGTTTATCAAGGTGAAAGAAAAATGGTAGCAGATAATATACTTCTAGGTGAATTCACTTTGGTAAGTCCCTGTTTTTATTATTGTAACGCAATTTTTAAAAATATATTTATGAATGTGTATCTTAACTCATTGATATTGTAAACACTTGACTCTTAAGCGGTAAATCTTGGGTTCGAATACTGTTCCACTTATCTAAGGCTTAAAAAGCTAGTTAGTATTGTTAGTCGTTACGAAGTAGGTATCTCTCACAGCCCAGTATATAAAGAGTTGCACGTGATAGTGGGGTTCTGTTCCTTAGTTTAGTTTATTCATGGTTGATCCTTAACGTTGGTTTTATTGTACACCGAGATTGTAATATCGTTAAATTTATTATTAATATACAGCGGGAATTGATTACTAATCTTGGTCGTTGACTTATCCATTGAAATCCTGATTTATCTCTGTGATGGTATCTACACAAAATGATTTTTTGTAATGTTGCACTTACAGCTTAAGGTTGACATTGACCTTAGGTTTTCTACACATTCTTATTATCTTACTTGTTTTGGTGATTGTGTTTCATTTTCCGAACAAAAATGTTTACTAATGGTATGTATATATTAGACATCTGTATAAATTTAAAAGATAATTGAACTGAAAGAATCTACTCACAAGTTTCCTAGTATCCTGTCTTCATAACTTTTAACCTGACTGGTAATTGTCGTGTTGGTTGTTGTCGCTTTTTGGATATGCTTATGTGTTGGGTATCGTGTTGACTTGAGCTTAAAGCTAGTAGATATTCACTGTTATCTCCAATAAAGTGGTGAATCGAGTGGACATTGGTTGCTGACTGATATTAACTGCAACCTTATTGGACTTGAACAGCACTTTTTGGGTTTTTTTTACGCTGAAATTTTCATGTTTTCTGTTAGAATTTATATCTACAGCTGCTTACATAATAAGTGTTTGTACTGATGATGGCTACAAATTCAGACGTTGAGTTATCAAAGAAGTTATGCAGATAATTACAACATAACTAATGAAAACGACCAACTGAAATTCATGGTACTTGGATGTGCTGCTCAGAAAATATTTCTTGAAACGCATGTGTTTGCAATGCCTCAGTCAGTCTATATCCAAATAAAACGTGAAATTATTGTATTACGGTACTAGGAGTCACAACAAGGTACAAGGCAAGAAGAAGATTGATGAATAATTCAGTGAAAAGTCCGAAACTCTAAAATGTAAAGGAGTATTTAAGCAAATAACATGAGGTAATTACGATAAAGACGAAAAAATTGGAGCGGTCTTATCTGCGCAACCGTTGGCGATGGTTGTCACGTGGACTCTAACCTGGAAGTTTACATTCCCCTACACGGGCTAGACAAACAATTAGAGACTTCATGGATTGATGCAGTGTTTTAGCCTAGCCATCATTAACATTTTTCCAACTTACCCGTAAACTGGATAACACAGTCCCTCGCTGTAAGTTGGGTCACTGGATATGCGTAGTATCTGCTCCGGCCGACTCAGTCGATGATATAGGTTATATTTGTCCAAGTCTCAGTGTGTTTAGAGTAAAATAATTCGAATGTTTCTTATGGCAGTCTGGTCCGAGCTTCAACCATTCAGCCACTGGGTCGGTTTTCAGTAGCTCACAGTTTCCAGCTTCTGTCAACTCAAGTCAACGCGTTCTCTGGGAAACCTGAAGGTCCTAAGTTCGATCCCTAGCCGGGTCGTGGGTGCGTACTGCTGAGGAGTCCCATACTAGAACGAAACAGCTGTTCAGTGGTCATCATATAAGGATGTGTTAACTTCACAGTGAGAAATATGAGATCAATATGTATCCCATTTATATTAGTGTACAAGGAGGCCTTCATCTAACTAACTACCAGGCAAAAAAGTTGCAATTATTATATTTCAAACTTACCGAAATTTATACAGTGTATACAGTGTATGAGTGTAAAACTTGAGCACTATTGTAAAATGTGGAGAATACAGTGTATCTTATATCAACTCACCGTGAATGCAGTGTTTGCGACACTTCGACTAAGCTACGGTTATAAAACAACGAAAACTTCAATAAAGAGTCAGTCTTTTCAGTTATTTCGTTCTCTCTGTTTACAAGCGCATATAAATATTACACTGACTTGGTAAACAGATAAAGAATGTTCCATAACATGCTCTTTAAAAATAAACAAAAATGTAGTTTTGATAATAGTCTGGGAGTTCAGAACAGAGAATTACGCAATGTATAGAATAATAATCAGAAAAAGATTCATCATAGCAGAAACTGCAAAATTGTTAAATTGAATGGTGTAATAAGTTTAAAAAGATTGATGAATAAAGTCAAAAATTAGAACTTCAAGTTTAGGAAAATCCGCGGTCCAGATTTTCTCACTTCAATCATCACCAAATATAAATACTAGTCTGCCAAACTATGGCCATCTCAGGTAGTCATATGATAATCAATATGATGCTCCCCTCTCTAATTGAGTTACATTTGGATCGGGATGAAAAGTCCTGACTGGGAAGCCAGTGTGAATACGATCAAGTGGTAGTAACGTGTCACGAATTCACATGGTAGTCGGGCAAAATCCTTGGTGATTGAAGTGACATAAAAATCTGGTCAGCAGTCTGACGTAGTGGCTCAGTTGGTAGAGCACTGGACTGGGGACCCGATGGTCGCTGGTTCGAATCCGGTTGCGGTCCAAATTTTCAGTTCATCTTCAATCATCACCCAGTATGAAAACTAGTCTGTCAAACCATGGCTATCCCAGATAGTCAAATGAAAATAAGATTTGTTAGAAGACGTAATAAGCTGATAGTGGGTGAAAGGGAAAGGGTTCTCGCAGGTAATGTTCAGTCAGGTGATTGGATAGAATCCATTTAAACTCAGATTTCGGGGTTTAAAGTACGAATTATCAAGTCCCCAGTAGTCTGAAGAAGTTTCAGACCGGCGTATACCTATCATGAGGTTTGCACGAAATTTATGCATGACGCTGAAGTCGTTTCCTGAGTTTACCAGGTGGTCAAAATCAATCATATATTCTGGAATGAAGCTGCCAGGTCCTGTTCATTCTCGCTTTCATGAAACCAGGTTGGTGTATGTTTAAAGATACATTTGTAAAGCAAATGGTGATTGCGATCAACATACCTTACCCCACATAGACAGTCTGTGACAAAAATTTGTTAGGTTGAGTTGCAGTAATTTAAATTGATTTTTTGCAAACGGATATTACTATGCTGATATTTTGAAGGTCACAATGATCCTCATGAAAGTATTTATGCAGGTCTGTACCTCATCGGTCTACACGGATGATTTTCAACCAATTAGTCACTGGTTCATATTCTGCACCACTTAGCAAGGGTTCGGTATCTAGGTTTTATGATTAGCGCTAACATATTGAGGTGTGCTTCATTGCTTAGTGCATAAAAGTGCATGTGGCTGTTAAGGTTGTTTAGTTCTTCTAAAGCTATTATTGAAATCGGATGGTACATATTCGAAACGGGTATAATACACACGCTTAACTGACAGCTAACTTCGTACGCAAGTCACCCACTGCAACCCAGGACGAATAGAGAAGACCGAAGCTGGTAGGGAAAGCTTATTCCTCTGAGAATGATAATCGATTAACCCGAAAACACGTGAGTATGCATACACATGGCATATGACCTTGTCCGTAAATTGAGACATTAACATAGTAGGGTAAGGATTAATTAATCAGAGAATTACATTGCAAATGAGGACAGAAAATGAACTACTAGTCAATGCTCAATAACTTTGGCATTTACTCAATGCCCAAATTTTTTTAAACCATCGAATCCCAACTTGGTTTGTGGATTATTATATTATTATTTGTCCCTTGGGTTCCTAATGGAACATAGGGCTTCAGTAGCACGTTTCCAATGCGCTCTGTTCTCTGAAATTTTTTGAACCCCGCTCCACGACAGCCTAGAAGCTCTCATTTCCTCCTCGCACTATCTACTCCATGTCACCCTCAGACGCCCAACTCGTCGCTTCCCATCGGGGTTCCACCCGAGCGTTGGCCTGGAGCGTGATGTCCCCAGTCGGCTTTCTCAGTGCATGCCCAATCCATCTCCACTTCCTTCAACTGCATATTTGTTGAGCGATAGGTTGTTGGTTGGTTCGTTGCCAGAGTTCCTTGTTGCTTATTATTTCTGGCCATCTGATCTTCAATAACGAGCGTAGGCAGTTATTGATGAATGTCTGTAGTTTGTTGGAAATCCCTTTCGTAACGCGCCAAGTCTCTGAACCATACAGAAGCACTGACTTGACGTTGGTGTTGAAAATCCGTATCTTGTTCTTTGTGCTGAGTGCAGAGGATCTCCACACTGGTTTCAGGCTAATGAACTCCTGTCTTGCTATCTTTCCGATTCTGACTTTGACATCCTCGTCTGTGCCGCCTGTAGTTGAAACGATGCTGTCTGGGCAGATAGGTGAAAGAGGCTACTTCCTTTAAGTTTCTCCCGTTGATGGTGATTGGAGCTTGTTGCTGTTGTTGTTGGCTGGGTATCTTCATCACCTCTGTCTTCTCTATATTCACTTGAATGGTGTCCCGTCTTCGCTGCCCTGCCCTGCCTCTTCTGTCAACTTGTTAGTTTTCGTCTGTAGATCTTCAGGTGTAGTGTAGCAATTCACACCACAATGGTAACTGCCTTTCGTCTAACCACTATCCAATAGACCTTTCTGGTATGGTAGGACCACGAGGGAACAAGTGTTCCGCCAGCATAGCTCGTTGGGTTATTGTGATATATCAGCCCGACCACCACGTCAAGGTAGCAGCTACCGGTCGGACCCGAGGTGGCCAGACTGGCACCAATATATGAAGTCTTTGACTGTTGGTTTGTGCCATGTGGGACGATGCAGACTAGGTGGTTGGGGTCCGCGGGACAAGAGGAACCAGTGGTTGGAGACTCTAGATGATATGGCTCAGATGTTTACACATACATTATCCTCATCTTAACGACGCCATACTGAATCTCACCATTTTCTCATTCTTCCTTTCCCTCTTTTCGTACTTTATATTTCTTTTGACTGCATTCCCTTATCTTCATCTTGCACCTCACTGCCTATTTACTTGATGTACTGATATGAGGTGTGGCAACTCGAACCTTTACGCAATAATGCCTGGTCCTATGTTGATTTGAATGGATGGAGACCAATGAGACACAGACCCACCAACATCACATAATAGTGAACAAAAATGTGGAATCGTAACTAGCCGAATTGTTCCACGTCTCCTATTACCTACTTTACAAGTATGAATAGACTCTTTCTTTAGAATGAAAAAATGAAAATAAACAAGAAACAGTTAGGAAGTATAACTGTTGCGTTATTCAAGCTAGTAGATTGTATGAATTATAGGTAAAATTCAAAATGATTTTCGAAGAGGTAGATAAAAGCAAAGCCCATGTAAGATGTTTTTTCCCATGGTGAAATAGTCAACATATGCACTGGGTGATGTAGCCTTCACCTGTTGTGAGGCTCTAAGTTTGCATAAAACACTGTTATTGATCTTGATATGAGGATAGAGGAAAAAGCCTAGTTTGGAGAGCTACCAATCAAAATATACCTCATGTTTTCGCGTCTATAGTTAGACAGACAGAGGCTGGATCACCCAATTATTTTAAATAGTGAACTATCTATATATTAGCTCTATTTCCTTCTTTAGAGTTTTTCGACCTAAACATACGTTTCTACACGTCCATCGTATCTTCTTTATTAATCAGTCGGGTCGGGAATGAACTAGGAATTTGTTGAGTGTGGGTGGCTGACAGTCGATATCTGTACATCGTCAGCGGTCACACCATATAACAGTCCTCCAAAACATAACATCACCTCTCTAATCTTAAGACCCTTAGATGAAAACATTTGAATTAAGCTACTTAGCTCTACTGACTCGTGCAAACTGTAAATATACAAAATATACACTTAAAGACGATCAGTATCCCCTAACTATTGTCTCTAATATTTTAATCTGTATCATCGTAATGTTTCTTTTCTGTAAAATTTTAACTTAGGTAGGACTTCCACCTGTACCTCGTGGTGTAGCACGAATTGAAGTCACATTTGATATTGATGCCAATGGTATTGTAAGTGTATCAGCAAAAGATATTGATACAGGCAAAGAACAAAAAATTATAGTGAATACATATAATCCTAGTGGAATTGATAAAACTGCTGTCGATGAGATGATTAAACAAGCTGAACAAAATGAAGTATCTGATCAACAAAAGTTAAGACTAATTGAAGTTATCAGTCGAACTTATTCATTGATTGAAGATGTTGAAGACAAGGTGGAACAATTCAAAGTTAAACTTCATGATCAACCTAGAGAAAATATACTGAAATTATTAGCTTCTACTAAAGATAGATTGAAACAAGCAAATAACAATCAGTTGACTGTTTCTGATGTTCAGGATATGGCGAATAAAATTCAAGAAGCTACTTTAACTCTTTTCAGTGAAGAAAATATCAAGGTAAATTAACTGTTGATTACTGTTTCTATTGTATTACACAAATTATTATCTATACTATTTGCTTTATATACAGTTTTCCTTAGTTTGTTCAACACCTTCCTGGTATCAACCATGAAAAGACCAGCAGTGAAATCCAGAATGCGCATTTCGTCCAATTTGAAACTTGTCAGATGAATGTACCTCCCTTTCAATGAGTGTTGTTGTTCTCACCACACACAAGACTAATCGCTTTAAACGCCAAAGCGATATGTCTACATACATGTCAAGAAAGTATGTAATGCTGATCAAAATATGTTTATTTTATGTAGCACATAGTGATAGAATATTATTTACTTGTTGACGTTACCAGCATAAATTATCGTCAATAATCATAGCAATGTAACCACATAAATTTCAACATATGGTTTTTATAGTCTTACCACCTCATACACTTTGCTATCTGTGGTAGTAAAATTCTCCGTATCTCAGGTATAGGTGTTGCGTTATTCCCATTACTATTTGTGTTGAGTGGTGATTCGATGAACAAAGGTTTTGTAATCAATCTGTCTTTCTCTCCACCCAACTATTCTGAACTTAATTATAGTGGTTTTATCCCACCCTATTATGTGGTTGTGTGTTATTGCATGCATCGCAATAGCCTGTTAGGGTCTGTCATTCTATAATTCTATGATTAACTAGATTTGTATGTTCCCACAATCTAACTGACCTCAATCGGCTAGTTTGATCTATGTACTTGACCTCACAGTCATTGCATGGAATTTGATAGATTAAATTAATTTCTTTTTCTGGATCTATGGGATTCTTAAGCCGGCAAAGCTTATCTCGGAGCGAGTTTGTAGGTTTAAGTGCCACCCTACTTCCAGCCTTGTTGAGAACTCTACATAAAGTTTCTGTTGTTTTTTTTCCTTATAGAAGCTTCGAACTCATTTCCATTCGTGTTTTCGTTATTATTCGCACTCAGTTTGTTTGTTTTCTGTTCGTATGTACTTCTTAATAAACGGTAGGAGATAATTATTAATTGGTAACGGATATTGGTGATCCCATTCCTACTCCTGTTTGTCTATATATTTTGTCCTGAAACTTCAAGACTCTGCAGGTGAAACACCAATGTATATTTATCATGATCCTATCAACCGACATCTAAGTTCTGTAAGTTCTGAGTCAATATGTAGGCGATTATCAACTGCGTCTGGTGTCATATTGATTGGTATTTTGGTTTAAATGCTTTTTACATCAAAACGGCTCATTTTTTCATTTCCTTTTAAGTGCAGGTCATTAAGTCTTAGGTTCAGTTTGTAGGAGTTGATGAGTCTAGAATTAGAACGGTTCCTAATAGGATATAATATCGATGTCAATTACTTGGATAGTTCATATGTTGCAGTGTTTCCGGAGTAAACTAATCCGTCTAGTGAGATAACCTGGTTTATGAAGTTTAACAACACCTTAAATTCTGCTGGGATTATTAGCTTTAGGCATTAAATTAAACCGTTTAGACTCATTCAAAGATGTCTTCATTTGGCCTATCAGATCATGTGTAGATTTTTTAATCTTATTCATGTCAGTGCCTATAGGTTTCTTGTTGCCTTTAGGCATGATCTTGTCTGGATATATTTGTCAGTTTTTTTGAAATAATTCTATTTGACCATAACCACTGAAGAGTTACCTTGATCCCATGTCCCAGTTACTACTGTATTACTGTCATTTCGTAGATTATTCAGAGCTGAATTTTCTACTTTCGCTAAATTTAGTCCAGTGCTAATGTACACTGTGCTCTAATCTGTTCAGCGGTTGTCGCTTCCATCAAGCCTAATGCCACTTCTATGTTAGGATTGACATCTACAAACTTATTCAGAGATAAGCTTTGCCGGCTTAAGAATCCATTACCAATTAATAATTATCTCCTACCGTTTATTAAGAAGTACATACGAACAGAAAACAAACAAACTGAGTGCGAATAATAACGAAAACACGAATGGAAATGAGTTCGAAGCTTCTATAAGGAAAAAAAACAACAGAAACTTTATGTAGAGTTCTCAACAAGGCTGGAAGTAGGGTGGCACTTAAACCTACAAACTCGCTCCGAGATAAGCTTTGCCGGCTTAAGAATCCCATAGATCCAGAAAAAGAAATTAATTTAATCTATCAAATTCCATGCAATGACTGTGAGGTCAAGTACATAGATCAAACTAGCCGATTGAGGTCAGTTAGATTGTGGGAACATACAAATCTAGTTAATCATAGAATTATAGAATGACAGACCCTAACAGGCTATTGCGATGCATGCAATAACACACAACCACATAATAGGGTGGGATAAAACCACTATAATTAAGTTCAGAATAGTTGGGTGGAGAGAAAGACAGATTGATTACAAAACCTTTGTTCATCGAATCACCACTCAACACAAATAGTAATGGGAATAACGCAACACCTATACCTGAGATACGGAGAATTTTACTACCACAGATAGCAAAGTGTATGAGGTGGTAAGACTATAAAAACCATATATTGAAATTTATGTGGTTACATTGCTATGATTATTGACGATAATTTATGCTGGTAACGTCAACAAGTAAATAATATTCTATCACTATGTGCTACATAAAATGAACATATCTAATATTGAATTGCATCTAACCGCAGTTCGCAAATTTTACACTTGATTGATCAAAGCTGTTTTACTGGGACCAGCATAACGTCTAAAGTCACGACAACCAACTGTGTCCACCAACGATCCCCACTGTTACCATTCGTGATAACTTTTTTCTCCATGCACTGATTGAAGTAATCTTTGATACTTCCTATTTTTAGTGAGCGACTAAGCTTCCGGAGAACCTGTCATTGACTTGAAGTACTGGGAATATGTTGTCCCGTTTGGCGAAGATGGTGATAGAATGCGAAATTTTCTAAATGCCTTGGTCAGAAATATAAATATATTTGGTTAAATGTAAGATGATGCTCCATGGCTGGTATGCAGCTACTGCCGGTTTTAGGATAGAAAGTGGAGTTAGAATGCGTCAACCACTTCATTTGCTGGAAAAGTTGCATCAGCCGAAATTGGTTGCTTGCTGACGAACTCTCAACTCGGATATAAAAGGCTTGTTTGACATTTGCTAAGTCGTATCATCTCTGCCATCAGCAAGATATTCAACCACTTATTTAAGTGGCGTGTTTACCGTGCTACAGTCCATTGTGTCCTATTATACAACTGTGAGGTATGGCTTCTGAAAGTAGATGTAGAGAGATTACAGGTTTTTGGTGACAACTGTCTCTGCAATATCGCTCATATGTGGTGGGATCACTGTGTAAGCAATGTCGAGGTTAGGCGGAGTGGGTATTGGTCAAGGAGGGAAAGTTATTCACTTGGGTTTTAAACCTTCAGGGACTGAGGTGAAGTGGCTTGGGCATGTATTATTCTGGCCGAGCCACCGCCTACCTTATCGTTTAATGTTATCTGAAGTAGGATTGGGTTGTAAAAAGGCTAGGGATGACCAGGGCAAAGTGTGACACCGTCTGTGTTTTTTGAAATTTCTTCCCACAATGGGACTTTTCTGTCGCTAATTGCGTTTCATAAACATCAAAATAAGATCATGCATTACTGCTTAGTTGTTCAAGTTATCACACCTTATATCAATCAGCATATCAGGTGAGAAAGCACCAAGATGAAAGATAAGAGTATTAATGTAAGCCATAAGGCATGAGATTCATATTAAAAGGTATTTTGAAACATCACTACAGATCAGATGTTAGAATGACTGCCTTCAGTCACTCGAGATTATATGAAGTCCACTGCGATAGGGAGCCATTCATAATGATGGCTTCGCTGCAAACTTGATAGTCAGAATTGTGTTATTGTCATAGGTCAATACCAACATGCCATTTGTTGCCCTAATATGATCAGTCATTTTGCTGCATTTGATCACGTAACATTAACGGTAGGGTGCTTGAATTGATTGGTAGGTAGTGAGTCACATCTTTTGTGCGGAGAGGGGGTGATACTACGTGGTTATCTTAGATGTTGGTATATAGAACCAGGGTTCGAACCCATGACCCACCTGTTAAAAGTCGAGTTCCTAGATCAAAGAAGTCACAAATGTCGCTTATTACCTGCTGTATGAATGTGGATATGGTTGCTGAATGCATTTTTTGACTTCGCTTAACCTGATAAGTCACAGCTTCACTTTTAATAGTATTTAAACGAAGGTATCTTTGAGAAAAACTGATAGATAAAGGACCATTTGTAAATTAGTAACTGCATCGACTTCTTCTCTTGTCATAATTTAATCTGTGTCCTATTTCCAATGTGTTTTTTTAGAACTGATATCACATCCTCTACGGATTTTGCCTGTACAGTAAAAGGATACTACTAAGTCTTAAAGAATCCACATAGAAACACAAGTTGGTATATATGCTACACTATCAAATCCATCCATGATTTGTGAACTATTTTCTTTCATTTTTTTAAAACCTTGTTTTATTTATTCATTTTTTACCAACGTTGCTCAAAGCTATTTCTTCGTAGTGATAGATATTTGTAGATTTGGCCTAACTTTAAAGAAATCTACTCCATGATTGTACTTATTTATTTGTTGTTCTTTTGGTTTCTTTGTTCGTTTCTGGATGTAGCAAAACGGAGTATAAAATAGTCCGTGCCTCATTCAATGTCAAGTCTGTAGATATCCTGATTGAAGGTTGATAACACTTTCAATGTTTTTTTAACCGTTGTCAGTTTATCCAGTTTTTAGTACTGACTGAACTGTTGTCAGAATCAAATATGCCCATCAAGCTGAAGGATTCGATCTCATTTGACGTGACACTTAAGAAATACGCGTCATGTTAATAATCCTATGATTCATCGTTGTATTTACCCCAGTTCTACAAGAATTTAGTCAAAATTATTGATAATATCTATGTCTATTGCACTGAGTTATCTGAGGTCAAATCTTAAAGGTATTGTCAATTTCGTCGAGATTGTAGATATACGCTGCTGATGAGTGCCTTCAACATCAATAACAATGAACTGGGGATGTTTTGTGATAACCTAAGAAAAGCGCAACAGATGTTGATTGTCTAGACCCATTGAGATGTTTAATCTGCGATGTTTTTGGAACTTACGATTCACCGTCTTCAGTCAAGTCTTAAGACTTGGGATTGATATCGATTATCATCCAATGATTAAATTGTATGGGGTGGGATATGTTTATACTACGACTGAATTCAGTTGGCACTAAGAGCTAGAGAATGCTAATAAAGTGGTCACTCCCCAACGGCTGCCTAGTCAATGTACCTCATCCAGCCCTACAGGACGTTAACCGTAGCTGGCATAGCATCGTAGCATCATCTTTGACTAAACCGTTGTGTGGTGTGGGTGTTCATTTCCGAGGAGATGCCAGTTTTCTGGAGGTTTCAGATACGCTTTATTGACACCAAGCTGTATTGTGTAATGAGAAATCTAGGTCCGGATTTTGAGCGATTCATAATTGTAGGAATGGTGTGTTCGCAATTGCGAAGACTGTTTCGGTGTTGGTTTTAAAATGATAAGACAATTCGTTTCGGATTTATCAAATAAAAAACGAAAAAGAAAGGTTAGGTTGATCTTAAGGCGTCTTATCCAGAGTAATTCGAGTTATAGTTTTTTGAAGCTTACTTCGTAAGGAAGTCCTTCATTGTAAATAAGTAACCACCGACGAAAGTTTTGCTGGATGTTCTCAACTCGGATCCTGTCAGATACGTTCATATTACCAGACTGGAATATTGGGTTAGCCATAGCTTTATATAATCCAATGTTTGCCTCAGGTATGAATATTTTCTTATGTAGAACACCTATGAGTCTTCTTTCTGCCTCTGGGAACTACTAAAGTTACATACTCTGTAAAAGTTAAACTCCAAGATTAAGTGATGCTGAAGTCTTTCACAGAGTTGATTATCCGCGGTGGGGTATCACATCTGGGTAGGATTTCTTGGATTGAAGGATGCCACTTTTATTAGGGTTTAAAGGGAGCTACCAGGTCACGCTCCATGTAAATAATCTCTTCAGGTGATCTTAAGTTTGAGAGAAACCCAGTTCTGTCTGATAACGCTGAAGATATCGTTCACGTATACCAGAATAACGGTCCTAACACACTGCCGTAGATGACACCATTTTGTACAGGTCTTAGATAAGAAATAACAACTACTGGATTTCACAAAGCATCTAAGAACGTTTCAAGTCAGGATGGTGGCGAGTTTTCAAGATCATATGATTTCAATTTAACGATTAGGCATTTCTGAGGTACCTAATGGAATGCCTGGTTGAAGTCAAAGAAAAGGGTGGTTAAGAATTGGCTGTGACCACTGTTACTTAGAACATCGTCTGAACAGTCGATAAAATAGGTGACACGCGAGCGAGTTTTCAAGAAACAGTGTTATGTCAAAGAAAGTTGGTTTTTTCTTCATACAGTCAACAACTTTTTTCACAGTCACCTATCCCCTAGTTCTAAATACTGCTGATGTGATGTTTATAGGCCAGTTGTTTTCAGTCCATATTTATGCTTGGGAGATGTGCATGACTATTTTCAGTTCTTAGGGTGATTGCCACTGAAGAGGGATATCCTGAAGAGCCTCAAGAGGAACAGCAGTGTATCTTTGCCACCGATATTTAGCAAGGCGGTTGGACTTCCATCTGGTCCAGCGTTGTTTTAAGGCTCGAATTGATGCTATTGGGATGGAAATGTTCAACTGAATGAAGAGCACATTAATAATGAAGTGAGTTGGTATTGATGGCTTATCAATAACTTCTGTTTCATCCTCATGTGTAAATGAGGTGGCGAAATGATGAATGAACAGCTCCCAAAATTTTCGTGTGTTGTCGTAGGGGTTCCAGTTGTTCACGAATAAATGAGGAGAATTACTTCTAGAGCTGCTTGCCCAGAAGTTCATCAGTTTCACTAATGCCCCTCTATTACTAGTTTCATTGCAGTTACTGAGTTCTTGTTTAACAGTTTCTGTAACTGTATCAACCTTATATACATGTTTTTGAGTTTAATTAGCGATGGAAAATCATTTGACCTATGCAACTCTCTGGGATGAATACCCATGCGGTTGCGTACTTTCTCAGAAACAAAGTCAACTTTGTTTTTGTTTATTTCTTTTTGGAGAGCTTGAACAATATACTTCTTTGGCCGAGCTGCTAACAAGGTAGGAATCTCAATCTAGGCAGCCCCAAAACGATTGTAGTTCATTCAACTTTGTAGTTTCTAGATAGAACCATATCTGGGTTGGGGGCTAACTTAACATTAGGTATGTTGAAGTTACGATACGCTATTTTGCAATCTCTACCTGGGAACTGTTTACCTACATGCAGCTTTATGGGTAGGATTCCGTCAGGTTGTCTCACTTGTTATTGCCAACCCTATATTTCCAGCGTACTTGTAAATTTGTTCAAGCGTTTTGGAGAGCTGATAGGCTGCCACGTTATACCTGGCACGTCAAAGTTACCACGTATAATTTTGCTATGAGTGATAGTGAAGCCATACGTGTGAAAATGCTTGTTAACTTCTCATCGTAATCCACTGGGGAGTGAGGGTGTCAACAGATGCATCCTGTGATGAGGGAGGTACGGTTTGTGATAACCCGTGTGAAGTCATCAATTTCACTCCTCTTTGAATCTAAGCATTGCGTAGTAGTGATGCCAGACCCCATATAGATCATCCATTCTCCTCCTTTACCATACAGTCCGTCCCCCTAAACGAAGAGTAGTTGCTGGTGATCTCTATGCTACAAATGTCATAAGTACATCATACTTTTGTTGTCATTGCCGCATATCAGGGATAACAGTATAATCTCCTTCATTTTGCTACATATAGAGCAGGCGTTAATCAGGAAAAACGAGAGTCAAGTGTACAAAGGCGTTTGCATATATCTCGAAAAAGGTCAGCAATTCTGTACATTCTTGGTGAACCCTTAGTGTATACCTCACTAGTAGTGACCTGACGATCCGTAGGATCTTCATTCATAAAAGGCGATGATACTGTACTGGTTACCTCCAAGGGAGCGAGGTACTCACCAACTGGGTAGTTTTGCTGATCCTCACTTATACGTTCTCCTCTCCAGCTTAAGGTTCACTACGGATATGTAGACGGAGGCTTCAGGTCATACAACATCATTGCCAGAAGAGTGGAGTTCAGAAGCACAGTTTCGTTTCCTCATAAGTTACACTAGCTTCAGAGTCCCACACATCACATATACCATCCCTAGCCATGGAAAATTGTTACTTGCTCTTCTCTCAAGTTCCCCCTCAAGACAGAAAGTTGCTAGTGTCCCTACAATCTAAGAGGCGGATAACCTGTAGCGTACCATAACGGCACCAAGTACTGCTACGCTTAAAATAAATGAATGAAACATTTAAAAGGTCTAAATATTTACTAACCAATCTCCTAAGGCGTCAGCCGGCGTCTTTAGTTTGGCAGTTTTTCTTTTTGATGTGTAGACAGCGCCATTTAGTATCTTCTTTTGCTGATCAGCAGCTGCACACTTAGAGTTCATAGTTCAACTGCCCATAGACAACCTCTAACATACTCACTTCAGACTAATAAATAAACTGCAGTGAGAGATTTTTCCTGTCAAATACGCGTCGTCCTTGCCTTTTGTTATCATTACTTACACGCAGGTAAAGTGCTGATGAGTTTGTTACTGGTGCAGACGAGTGCTACAAATCATGCAACCTAGGACCGGAGCTTCCTTCCGACTTCCATCCGACTAACATATGGCAGACTTTTTCACAGGTCACGCTTAGAGTATCCTCCATTCTTGGTCAAAAATATTCTTTCCCTACTAAGGTTTTCTTTCATGTATGCATACATACATTTATGTATATATATTGTATCTACCTCTTTTTCATGTTATTGATTTACACTACTTACTAACAATCAGTAGTGCAATTTCTATTTCTGCATAATGTTCCCCAATTTTCCACCTTAACTGTTCAAACCCTGTTGTTACCACAGCTGTGGGGTTCATAGGCCACTCACTTTTAACGACAAAAAAACCCGGAGAATACAGATTGGTTATTAAGGCGTTATTACTGTATAGAGCACTTGCATTTTCATTGGATACACCCACTCTCTTACGTCTAGCGATTTGTCACAAGCTACACTAGAATCGAAAGTATGTTTCTCACAAGCTTGGTGTTTACGGATATGCAAAGATTACTTTTAGATCGCATATCACAAACTGAGGCCGAGGAAGGAGATTTGGTCAGATAATGCTTCTATTATTTTTAGGTATCTAGAAATTGCTTGAAATTAATTTTGATCCACTCTCATTTTGAAAAAAATCATATAAGGCAATCATATACAGGGAGACAGGGAATTCTTTCATCGAGGAAGACGGAACGGCAAGTAAAGGCACCTCTTACAACGAAATAACTATGACCAACAATAAGAAGTGTGATCATTAGGTGAAAGAGTAGTTGGAAATGGGGCTTTTGGAAGTCCTTTAACATATCTTCAAAGTCCTGTATCCCATTAAACTCAGAAATCTAAATGCCATCGGAAACACCATTTATCGCCGGCAGTCTACAGCTACAAGCAACCATAAGTCA